CTTTACTTAGAACCCTGAAAATAGTACCATTGGATTCCTCAAGCGATTTGCTTTCTAATGATGTACATACTTTCTAATAAAATATCCTCTCTTTGACCACAAATTGGCCATTTACTTGCTTATCTCTCTTCAATTCATGTCCTTTTGTTTACTTTACATGTGATTTTTTTAAAAGCTTAATTTTGCCTAGCAAATGAATTGTTTTGATTTTGCATGATCCGAATACCTTCTAAAAGAGGACAATCCCTAAAAAGAATGACATGAAATGTGTTGACTCTTTATGAGATGAATACTCTTGGCGTAAGAACTACAAACAGGTTGCAGGAATGATACACGAGAATGACCAACTCACTATGTAAATGTGGGCATATTGATGATATCTAGTAGCACAAACACTTGATTGACATCATTGACAGCAACCATGATAGCTGGAAACAAGATGACTTGCACTGGTTCGAAAACAATCCAATATGTTCCATTCCATGGAGATTGCCGCAGTAATATTCATATGGCACTCTTGTTTTCCAAGGTGTACGCTTGTCTCTTGGTCCAGAATCAGTTATGCTGGCTCCGATGTGATGTAAACGACACCTTAACACTCGTATTGCCCGATTAGATGGACAGTTTATAACTGATGTAAACAAAAAGAGAGATGGATCGAGAACTGTAATTTTAGAGAGAGAAATTAAGGGGAGGTAGAGAAAGATTACTTAATCAAGCAACCAGCTGCATTTGTTTCAGTGTCAAATGACATTTTTTGTTTACTTTTTGATGAGGTTGAACCAGTGAAAAGTTGTCTGTTAATTACATCTAGGAAGAGATGGGGGAACTCGTTTCATGTGAAGGTGGAAAAAGGGCTTTTTGAAGTAGCAAAATGGACATAACTCGAGACAGAAAACAGTTGAAAGCCTCGGACGAAGCGGATCAAATAGAGCAAGTGTCAAACGTCAAAATGGTACTATTTTCACGCGCTCAAAGTAGTATATCGTGGAGAAAAGTAAAAGGAAACGAATTTGAGTGTGGCAAGGATACTGGACTCACACAAAAGTCGATGAGAAGGATATAAATAGGGATTTGTTTCAACAGCTTTTCCCTCTTCTTCTTCATCTCATCTCTCTACAACAAGCAAAATACTCTATACATACAAACTCTCTACAAGACATTTGGGCTCTCTCTCTCTCTACATATGGTCATCTAAATCAAATACTCTACTGTCGATTGGCCTCTACTACTGCTACATACAATGCCTTACAAATCCATGGTCCTCTCTACGTCTCTTGGTCCATGCTAGAAAAAGGCCACACTATCTTTGATACATGCAGACCTTGGTGAACTGTGCGAGTGAGTTATTATCTTGTTGGACGTATGAGCCATGTTGACTAACCTATTGATTACATAGTGCCGAAAAACTACTTTGTAGGGACTGAGTAGGATCACCGCTTCATAATCATGGGTAGACTGCAGGACAAATCCATTGGTCATGCTACGGGATGATCACAAGCTTTATTGCCGACGAGAGTAGGGTTTAACCCTACGATCCGGAGATGGAGGCGGCTTGAGCGTGTCGATGATCTTGTGATGGATGAAGCAAGTTTACACCTTGGTACCTGTTTATATAGTGTTGGTTCCTTTTATTGATGGTCAATTTTCTTTGCCCAAATGGTTTGTTACGCACTCATGCCACAGTACTTGTGTACTCATCTCATCTTTATCTAGTTACCTCTGCCATCTCATGTTCTATCTCATCTAAAGCAAGCTGTCCTCTCCAAATGCTATCAAGCCAAGTTCTCTGTGCCTCCTACAAGCTCCTAAAATGACAAGACTGTTCAAATATACCATCTCTACATCTATACAAGGTCAAGCCCTACTCTCATCTGTGCTTCCTACAAGCTCCTAAAATGACAAGACTGTTTAAATATACCATCTCTACATCTATACAAGGTCAAGCCCTACTCTCATCTGTGCTTCCTCTTACTCAATCAATTATCAAGACAATTAATGCCTGACATCTATACAAGGCCAAGTCGTTCTTATATCTCTGCTACCTCTATCTATACAAGTCAAAATAGCCTCAAAAATCTGAAATATTTTAATCCATCAAGTATGGTGATCTCATAAACTCAAATACACATTAATAAAAAAACAACCACGTCTTGTCATTAGCTTCAATATTATGCTCTATTAAGATTACATCTTCTTTCAATGCTTGTACTGTCCATCAATTGCTGTAACCAATGTATTTTAACGCTTGTACATAAGTTAATCATATTCATATAATTCAACGTCAAGAGATTTTGCCGGTATGTAATATCATAACATGATAAATTTATGGTCCCTAGACACTTTCAAAGCCTCAAAAAGGAAAGAAATTGATCTAACAAGTATTTTGATAGACTGACGTTATTAAATACAGATTCAAGAAGAGCAGCACGACTAGCGATAGTGATATATGATTTGCCACCTACTTTCCATACGCTTCAAAAGCATCTATTACTGTATTGCCTTCATGATGGAAAGGGCATTGAGTCTGCCAGCCGGCCCCACCAGCCGCCAAAATTGATTCAAACCCAAAACATTATTTCTGTTCAAGATTGGACAGATTTTGCCTTTTTTCGACTCGATTGAACTCTTTTGTAAGATTCGACTATACTAGTTGTGATGATCACCCTTTGCTTCCTAATAAAATTTCGAAGCACTTTTCAAGACGCATCCAATGGTACCAAGTAAGGTAGATGTTTTGAATAAACTTATTGAGCAATTTATGAAAATATAAAAAGAGGTTTCTGGCCAAAAAGTCGAGATTTTCCATATAAAGGCCCCACAAAGATAGCTTCAGGGGTTGCGTTGGATCGATAGAAACAATTTGATTTAATATATACCATAGTAAAATTCTTCATTATCAAGGTCAAAAACGCAATCGTTTGATTTTTGGTGAAAACCATGAGGGGTACCTCATGCTTTTTGGCCATTTTTTGGCCATTTTTTTTTTTCGGTCCCCAAAAAGTTGAGCAATAGTGGCAATAAGTAACTGCCAGATGAGAGCAATTGTTTGGTGCTATTCTGACAATCTAAAACGGCTTTGAAAGCGAGAAAACGCAGCTCAAATGCACTCAGATTTTACTGTATTAGCCACACTGTCGACTAAGAAGGGATAATACCTGTATGCTACTTGCCTGTATATGAAGTATTTACATGTATACGGATGTGGAACATCGCATAAAAGTCAGATCCACAAATGATGTGAAGGGTTCTCAAGTGCAAGCGGGAAGTTATAATGAAAGTAGCAGTATTTTGATAAGATACGCAAGGGCAATTGGTAGAGAACTATCCGGAGCATAATCACTCGTATATTATAATGCAGAATGCTGTTTTATCATTCCAGATGATCATTGAAAAGTATGGCAATGTGACAATGACACGATCAAGGTCGTGCTTTTTGGCATCTTATATAGTGTGGCATTCAGTTATTCTACCAATATATGCTAGGATTTCGCTGTTTAGCCTTCAATTATCGCATGAGAGCTATTTATATACTATCTGGACTACGGAGCTGGCTTTTCAACAATATACCACGAGGGATACCTCATGGTTTTCACCGAAAATCCATCAGCAAAGTCCAGTGGAAGCACTTGTATCATCAAAACATGCACCACTCTGTGAGAAATGTCTGGTATAGAATGATCCATAAGCAATGCCCAAGTAAATCAGCTCTTTTCGTTCGACGCCTGAGGAACGTTGAAGATGACAAATGTACCCTCTGCAATGATACTGAAGATGCCAAACATCTCATGGTTAGCTGCCCCCCTCCCCACAAAAACGACATTTGGTCCAACATCTTTGAACAATTCCTGGGATATCCCAAAGTTGCCAATCCACAACAAGTATACCAATCTATAGTCAATTTGAACCTGAAGCAATACTTCATCTACAATCTCGACATCAAGATTACAATCTTTGACCTGTTTGCTGCCACCATTCGTATGGTATGGAGATTCCACCTCCTACATACATTCGAAGGAATGCCTTTTGATACCAACTATGTCACCACCAAGATCTGTGCCGAAGTGATGAGATTGTCAGATCTCAAGCATTAATATAAGTATTAGTTTAATTAAATATTATATATGGCAAGTCACTTTGTTACATACACTTGTCCATCATTTGATGTTCTTATTATATTTGTATACCTACTAATAAATAAGCAACATCCATACAAAAAAAAAAAAAAAAAAAAAAAAAAAAAAATTTACCAAAAATTAAACGATCGCATTTTTTATCACAAAAACAAAGACTTTTATTATGGCATGCATTGAACCAAAATGTCTCTTTCGATCCAACACAACCCCTGAAGCTTTGTTTGTGAGACCTTGATATATAAAATCTCGACATTTTCGCCAAAAACGTCATTTCATAATTTCGTAAATTGCTCAATAAGTTTATTCAAAACATATATCTTACTTGGTACCATTGGATGCGCCTTAAAAAGCACTCCAAGGAATCTTAATGAGGCATTGGACGATTAGCATATTTCTTATAGTCGAATAAGAAAAAAATAATTCAATCAAGTCAAAAATTATCAATATCTGGCGAATCTGGAGTAGTCTAAGAGTCTGAGTTAAAATTAATTTTGGCAGCTGGTGGGGCTGGCTGGCAAACTCAATGCCCTTTTCATCATGGAGGCAATACAGTAATAGATGCTTATGAAGCGTGGTGTATGGAAAGTAGGTGGCAAATTACACAGCGCTGCTGTTAGTCATGCTGTTCTACTTGCATTTTATATTTAATAGCGCCAGTCTATCAAAATACTTATAAGATCAACTTCTTTCCTTTTTGATGCTTTGAAAGTGTCTAGGAATCATAAATTTATTATTAAACTCTTACTGTATATCAACGCCGTACTCAGTAAGCCAATATTTTAGTGAGATATATAGGAATTCGTTAAATTGTCATATAGAAGCTTGATAATAAGCATATACATATATAAATAATAGACTTCAAAGCTAAGCACCTTCTTCCTCGATCGTATCTCCAGTAACCTTGATATCCAAAAGCCTCCACATGAGCCAGGAGCCCAATGTCCTATAGGGTCTCCAGATATCCGTCAGTTCAACCATATGATGAGGCAACGGAAAGACCTTTTTTTTGTCAGACGGCATAGCAAGGTTAAAATGTTGAGCGACACCTTTACGAACACCCAAGTCTCCTAAAGGCATGATGTCCGAATGTCCCAGCTCTTGCATGAGAAACATGTCAACGGTCCACTGTATAACATGATATATGTCAACATTTGGCATAGGTATTTGAGCCCATCAACCTACCTGGCCAATGCCTTTGACTTTAATCAATTGCTCGCCAATTTCTTCATCAGTCATATTGACGAAATTTTCAGGGGTAATTGTCTTGTCATTGAACTTTTGGGCAAGACATTGTATATACTCGGCCTATAAGATCCATGTGTCAACCGTCTAGTATCATAAAATGAGGGCCAAGATACATACCTTTCTAGCAGACAAGCCAGCGCTCTTCAATTCCTCAATTGATTTTGACAAAACATCATCTGGAGAAGGGTACTTTGGGGTATCTGAGGTATCAAAAAGCTTGATGAACCGAGCTTCGATAGAAGCAGCGGCTTTTCCGTGTATTTGTTGATAGATGATGCCGCCTGCAAGCGTTCGGAAAGGATCCACTCCGCGCTTTCTGGCAATCCGTTTCCTGAAATTTTCTACTGTGTCCTCATTCAGGTAAGAGGCTAATTTGGGATCATGCTGTTTGAAATGCGCAATGGCCTTTTCCAAATGATCTCCATCTGAGAGAACGTAGGAAGCAGATGGAGCATTTGACTATTTTTATAGCAGAGATTAGCCTTTGTTACATGATGTACATGTGTCAAACATCAATGTCCTTACAAATGCGGGAATCTTTGCTTTTTTCTCAACCTTGATCTTGCCTACCTTGATCTTTTGAGTCTTTTCATTGATCTTGGTAATGCTTGATACTGTCTGGCTCTATATTGATCATGGATCAGCAACGGCAAGATCATGCTTTACTGACATGAGTATTTACCTTTTGAACTACGACTTTCTTGGAGATTCGACTGCGCAATGTTAATGCAACATGCTCGATGAAATCCTGTAGCAATGAGACAATGCAACTTACGTTTTTGATAGTTTGGGGATCTTCTTTTCCTTGTAGGGTATTGCCGTTTTGGAAGCAAGTCTTCCACTTTTACGAATTGTCGTAGTGACAGACATAATGATGAAGTAATGGAAGAGAGAGAAACAGAAGATCCTCTGTGCCTAATGCTACACCAATGCTCATTCACATTGCGTCTCCGGTTTCAAAATGCCATCATGTGTGTGACGGTGCGGTGCTATCAGGGCAATAGCAGCTGCTTTCAATGATGGAACAGCAGTTTATTCCATATTCGACATGAAATAAAATAATTGCCCTTTTCTTTTTCTTTTTCTTCCACCAATATATCATGACAGTACCAACATTAAATGGTGTACCTTCCTCGCTACCACCTTCGCTAGCAGAGCTTTCGAGGAGAGCGACCGTAGACAAGACGGACATGTCTAAATATTCGATCAAAAGCTGGATAGCGACAGTATCTAAATTATATGAGCAGGTAAGTCTAAGTTATTGCCAAGCAAAACCCATATACTGACGCACAGATATCAGGGTGATTTCGAGTATCGTGAGAATTGCTTGGATAATGCTTACGTCTACTATATGAAGGGTTGCAGGTAAATCATTTTAGCAGTGTGTTCATTTGAGACAGAGGTTAATATGATATGTGAAAAAAGCATCATGGTCGAAGTCATTGCCAAGCATCAAAATTTCAAGGAAGCCAAGAAGGATGTTACCTACCGTCAGCTCAAAGCAGTAAGTGCGAAAAATCAATGTAAATGGCTATGCAGGTATTAAGAGAAACTGATAGAGAACAAGCGATGAAATATTGATGCTTTTGGAGGAACTCAGTGCAAAGCTGCAATACAGTGATCCAGATCGATTAGCAGACGATTATTTCGTTCAGGATGTGATGAATAAATATCCGCCAGTGAACGATATGCCTATGCCGATGCCCAGCCCAACGCATATTGATAGCAGCAGTTTCTTGGATAATCTGCCCTCGGTGCCAAAGCACATGCCTAGTAACAATGGCACCGCAAAACCAACGCAGCGAGATAACAGTGTCGGCAGCAATCATAGTAGTAACTCGAGCCCTTTGTCTGTTGCTTCTAATTTCATGAAAATGCCTGAGCCTCAACCTCAGCAACAGCCAACAGCTCCACCTAAATCGTCAGCGACCAATGTGCTGCAATTGCCAACACCTTCTGCTGACTTATCAATCCCGCCAACGCCAATCGTAGATGCACGACAGCTTGCTTCCTGGATCGTAAAGAAGAGCGACGGTAAGCAGCCCAGTGTGTTGATCTTGGATGTTCGACCACGACAACTCTTTGATCAAGGATTCATCAAACACAAATGGATTGCGCAGATTGAACCTTTAGTGTTGAAACAAGAGTAAGCTCGCTGCATGTTTCCTAAAAATCATGGCCAAGTGCTGATATTTCCGTCTAGTGTTTCCTCTAGGAAAATCGAAGAATCTATGGTCATGAACCCTGATGCAGAGCAACAGATATTTGCAGGTCGACATCAATTTGATCTTGTCGTATATTACGATCAGAATTCACAATCCCTTCAAAACCTTACACTCAACCATTTGAGAGCAGCCATTTACGAGTTGGAATTTCAAAAGATATTGCAAAGAGCTCCTGTTATGTTGTCAGGTGGATTTGATGCTTGGAAACAAGTGATTGGCGAAAAAGGTATATTCAGATACACGAATGATGCTTCTTCCACTGCTGCCAACGCACATAGCCGAGACGCATCACCATTACCACACCACTACCAGCAGCAGCAGCAGCAGCAGCAGCAGCAGCAAAAACCACACTGGTTGAAGGATGTAGTAGGCAGAGGATCAGATCAAAACATGGCTTTGAGCCCTGTCAAGGTCCATCATACATTTTACGACTATTTCAGTAATACGGGATCCTCTGGTAACAAGGAATCAATGACAAGATACACTGAACGGAGCGTAGCTACACCTCCATTGAGAGGCGTATTTAGCAATACACTGTATCAGCCCTCTTCACCATCCAAGACCTCAGCTTATGCTATGCCTATACCCCAACCTTCGACAGCTCCTGCTCAAAATGCGGACACAGCCACCACCAAATACCCAGATGTTCGACCCAACCTATCCAGTTTGCAGCGAAAAAAGACATTTATCGACAATCCATTCCATGGCTTCACATCTACCACCAACCAGCAATTCGACGTACCTCCCTTACCACCTAAACCACAACGACCCCTACCAGAAGCGCCTGATTCAGCAGCAGCAGCAGCACCGGCGGCTTCTGCCCCTCCTTTACCACCCAAAGAAGTCTACGCATCATCGCCTATTAACAATGCTTATCGCACTGCACCTGTATCTGACAATTCCTTCTCTCAAATGGGTAATGTCATGATTGGTACAACAGGTTTAAAGAATCTGGGAAATACGTGCTTTATGAATTCCATCATACAATGTCTCAGCGGTACCATTCCATTTGCTCGTTATTTCATCTCTGGCGTGTTCCGACAGCATATCAATAAGGACAACTTTTTGGGCACAGGTGGTGTGTTGGCCGAAAACTTTGCTAGTTTGTTGCGTACCATGTGGAGCGAGAACTACAACTTTATTTCGCCCGTGTTGTTTCGGGAAGCATTGATCAAGTTTGCTCCTCAGTTTCGCGGTAGTGAACAGCACGATTCTCAAGAGTTTTTGAACTTTTTGCTAGATGGTATTCATGAAGACTGTAATTTGGTGAAGAAGCGGCCTAGTCCTCCACCTGAATCTGCTGAAGAGGAAGCTCGCTTCGAACAATTACCTGATTGGCAAGCAAGTGGCATTGCTTGGGAGCGGTATTTGGAGCGTAATTCCAGTGTCATTGTAAGTCTGTTCCAAGGGCAGTATCGTAGTAGATTGACCTGTTTAACATGCCAAGCTGTAAGTACTTGTTAATCGGGAGTGTGCGCATGGAACTCACAAAGGCATATAGACCTCTACTACTTATAATTCATTCATGTCGCTGTCGTTGCCCATTCCAGCCAAGCGAAGTGGCCCCTCCAGTGTATCCATCTATCAATGCCTGGATTATTTTGTCAAGGAAGAGATTTTGGACCACGATGATGCCTGGCAATGTCCCAAATGTAAAACGCTTCGTCGTGCAAGTAAATCGTTGACATTATCAAAGCTGCCAGACGTTCTGTTGATTCATTTGAAGCGATTCTCGTTTGATGGTCCATTCAAAGACAAGCTAGAGACGATCGTAGAATCTCCCATGAGGTAAGTACCCGCATTGAATGATGTGTTTACGGCATTTAATGAGACGTGTTAGTGGCCTTGATTTATCGCGTTACGTGCCATCTACCATGTTCCCACCTGATCAGCCACCTGAGAAGTCTGCATTCAACTATGATTTATATGCTGTTTCTGTAAGTCTTCTATTCCCATGACACTCGAAATGTCGTTTCCTAACAAACTCCCTGTAGAATCACTTTGGATCACTGACTGGCGGGCATTACACTGCCTGTGTTCGCAATGGCTACAAGAATGAATGGCATAATTTTGATGACTCTCGATTCTCTGTATGTGATGAGTCCAAGGTGCTAAGCAGAGCCGCATACAATTTGTTCTATGTGCGATCAACTGTAAAATAGTTGCTTGAATTTTAAGCATATGTTGCTTCTGGATCTGCTGCAACATTCCATCGTGAAATAAACTTTTGACAAACATAAGTCTCTTATTTGGTTCTTTAATTGAAAGTGGAATGTATTAACTGTTTGTTTTATTTAAAGAACTAAAAGCACTGAACTTGCTCAATTCAGAAGCATTAGAGCAGCATTAGAGCAGCATTAGAGCAGCATTAGAGCAGCAGCTCTTACAGCTACTCCGAATAGATACTGCTATAGCAACAACTTTAACAACACTGTACCGAAGTTATACCTACATAACTTCCCCACATGTTCCAGCATCCATTGCACTGTTTGATGTAAGGGATGTCTATTAAATTTACCTTATTCGGAAGCTATTAGCTACTACTTCAGCACAGTGTTGGTAAACAGTGGCCTCCTTCACAGACGCCAACCAACTATTCACCAACCCATCTGTAAACTCTGCCACTCCTCCAAGGAAACAATTAAACATTTCCTTTTTGCCTGCCCTCATAAACGCTCCTTTTGGTCCTCTGCACTCAGTACTTACATGCCTCCCACTCTCAATCAGAACATCTACTCCAATTTCAAGGGCCATCTCCTTTTAGAACAGGATAATTCACTATAATTCAAGTTTGTGAATTATTTAGTAAGTTATGTGTATAGTTTACAAATAATTTATCCTAATAATTTGCGATTTTTCCTCCAGTGGATAGAAAAACGCCCTAACAAAAGCGATTTCGATTTCGCGGTTGGGGCCAACCAAAATTGAGTTTTGAAATATCGATGCTAGAGCTTTGAAGACAGCATGCTCCTATGACAAAGTTTTGCATTGGTGGTGTAATTGGATTTTAGGTTACAAGGGTTATTACTGAGGAACTGATGATTTTCAAAATATGCCATTGCTGAACTATGGCCTTCATGTATGAACCTGCTAACTACAAGTTATTGCGAGTGCTAGATTGATAGATTAGGTGTTGAGAAAGGTTGTAGTAAAAATCTGTTGTTGATTAAATCTTCCTTCATTATAGTTTAGCAAAGAGCCAAAGGTATGCTACGCGCTTTACCAAAAGAAGAGAATACCTTTTTCACGCCCTAATAAGTTAATGCTAGAAATTTATTTCAGAGCGATTATAAGCCCACTTTCAGAGGAGGCTGCTAAACGTATGATTGGATTCTCAGTCGCTGCATTCGTTGTCAAATATCCAAGCGAGGAAAGTATAATAAGGTAGCCAATGTAATATAAAAACATTGCTTTGACACTGTTACTTGTGGAACTACTAACTCCATCAGGCTTCTCTATTATTAATCAGACTATGCTTCCTGTGTTTGTTCTACAAAATGAGTCGTCGTTTGAGCACCTACAATGCTTCCTTTCAAAAATTAGGTTTTTAACCCTCTAAATTGGAGTTTACGGTGGCAAAAACACGTTTTTCCTTAATAACAGCACAGAAACATCCATGTGATGATCAAGTCTATGAAATGAATTCAGGGCGTTGTATGACTCATATGGACATACAAAAGAACTTTATATGCGTCACTGTAGCAAAAGTTAGCATTGAGCGATCGATTTTGAACAACTTGGCTGGAGCTGATCTTTTCGACAGTGTAGGTCCGTGAAACCATTTAAACAGGAATTCACTACAATCTCCTGGCGTCAAATATAGTATTACAGTGTTTGTAGATATCGTGAATCTCTATTCGCTCGACTTTAATACAAAGTTTTGTTGTTTGCTTCCCCAGTTGTGCTGACACTGACTCAGCCTGTTCGTTTTCGGTCATTTTTCCTAAAATATGAATGTTTAACATCGTGGATAGACTTTATTTACGTCTAGCTTCATGGGTAGATATGGCATCTTAGTTGTGGACAACCATCAAAAGTGTCATGCTAATCTGATAAGCATCTCGTTCAATCTGAGCAAGTTACCAGATTCAAATTTGCATGGTATTGTTGACGCTCAAGTCATGAAATTACTGTAATCGTGTATTTCAAAACGAAAGGCCTGAACCTCAGAAGTAGAATAAAAGTGTTAAGCACAAAGAATAAAAGGATTATTATTTGTAGCTTATAAAAAATGTTCGATATTATAAAAACAAGAAAAGACTTATTTGAATAAGATCAGACACAAAAAAACTAAAGATTTATTGATGAAGACAAGAGTTATTCTATTTATACTAAGTTCTGAAAGCCAAAGTAGCAATTTTTCTTGTACAACGCTTATCACATCTGGTGAACCTCAGTATTTAGATATCTGAGATGCACTTCAATTATCATAGCTTGTCCATGTTGTTGCACAACACAGACATATCTACCCATCAAGAATACCTTAATCTTTATAGACAGTTGTAGCCCTTCTGGCACAACAAAAAGCGTCAATCGCTTAGATGTTGAGTTCAGTGCAATGCAGAACATCGGGGTCATCAGACAGAACCGTGGTTCGCTTACTCCTTTCGCAAAACAACCTACTATACGCCTTGTTTTTGGTCAAATTCTGTCCAAATTTAGCCATTTGGAAGCACGAATAACTCATGTTACAAATCGTTGGAGACGCTTGGAATTGGACCAAATCGCTCTCCTTTGATACGCCTTACTTACTGCTGCTTTATCTCAAAATTTTTTGGGTCATTACAAATCCATGAAAATCTTCATTTTTACATGAGTATTAGCAAGGGAAAATTCTTGAAAATCAAACGATCGCGTTTTTCACGTCAAAAGTGAAGACTTTTCCTATGATAGGTATTAGATCAAATTGATCGTAAAAATTAAATGCAACATTGGAAACTCTTTCTATGAGACTTTCATATGCTAAATTTTGACATATTCTCAGAGAACCTGTTTTCATATTTCTTGAAATTGCTCATTATTTTCGGTCTGAAAGCTAAAAGCAATCAGTACCATTCGATGCTGCTTCTTTAATCCTCTAGAGATGTATTAGAAAGTTGGGTTTGACAACGACAGTTTTCATAGTCAAATGTAGCAAAAACGTTTAAAGGGTGTGAGATCAAGTCAGGTTTGAACACGAAGATACCACTGCACAATGTCAAATTAAATTGCCGCAATTATGGCTGCTACGGTACAAGACTGAGACTAACTCTACTGGTCGTGACGTCGAATAGGGTGCCCTCTCATTTTTCCATGCCCTCGTTTTTTTACCCTTTTGCAAAACGCGTTTTAGTATCAAACCATGGTGGTTTTGGACATCGTTTAATTAATAATAACACTCTAGCATCCGATAACTCTGTCTTGTACTGTTGGAAGAACTTGATACTGCTTCTTTGAAGTGGAATATATTAGGTACCATTCGATAACGAGCACTGAAAGGCATAAAATTAACACTAATTGAGTTTGTTTATTATGTTTTAGTAATTTTTTGCTTGTTTGAGTGAGTGCTGCTGCCATTACTTCTCTGCCATCTCTGCTGCCTGCTTCTTCGGTCTTTGTCTGGTCTCTGGTGTTGTTCGTTCTTTGGTTCTTCTATGGTGCTGGTGTTGCTGCCGCTGCTGCTGTTATTCCGGTCTTTCCTAGTCTACTCTATTTGTTGTAGTATGCTTGTTCTCTGGTCTATCTCTGGCGATTACCTATACTTTTCTGGTCTATCTCTGGTGGTGATAAGCAGTAAGTGACTACTTTGGTCTTTGTCTGTTCTTTGCTGATAACGTTCGTTCTATAGTTTTTCTATGGTGCTGGTATTGCTGCTGCTGCTGCTGCTGCTAATCTGGTCTTTCCTGGTCTGCTGTATTTGGTGCATGCTCCTCGTTCTTTGGTCTGTCTCCGGTGATTTCGTGTCCTCTTCTGGTTTATCTGTGGCTGTGGTAAGTGGTATCTTCTTTCTTCTGGTCGCAATGATATAAAACTTCTTCGGACGCTTGTATTATTGCTTCCTTTCTCGTGATAATGCATTCATGATGTTTGCCTTGTTGCGCTTTCTTCTTTTTTTTCTTTTCTTGGTAGTGTTTCCTCTGTAGCTTAACATGAAACAACCTTAGTCATTATGTTGTGATGCAAACTTATAATGTCACTGTTGCTTTTGCAGTTGTGCGTATTTGTGTCATGTTGCTGTACATCCGACTATTACTACCATGCGCGTTGCTCATTTATGCAATTTTATTGCAACAACAACGAGTTTTTTTTAAACATCTTTGATGTTGTGTTTGATATGCTTTTCTTTGACTCGCTTCGTGTGAGTGTCTCTTTTTTTTGCCTACATACTTCTATACTCTTATAGTATTATGTTCATTTGTTCCTTCGATTATGTTTCTTCGAGGCATACTTTTTTACGTTGTGTGGATGTGCCTATCCCTGAAGCTCAACAAGACTTTATCCGAGGCTAGGAGGTAGATAGGCCGCCTCCACTTGGTTATCACTACTTACTTTAGTGATGATTGAGGGTCTCAACGCCAGAATCTAAAGCTAGGTGGTGTAAGTAAGGCATGCTCTAGCACCTGGGGGAAGTTTGATGATAGCAACGGCTATACTACTATTATAGCGGCGCTTAAAATTTTGCCTCACATCAAAACCGGGGGAAACCCTCGCAATTTTTTTTTTAGGTCAGCGGAGTTTTCAAACAATTTGATTGGCTCAGAGGTTCAAGAGCCGAAGGATTCCAGCTAGTTGATCTCCTATTGATCTAGCATTTAATAAGGTTTTGTCTTTGTAATAAAAAGGGTATCCAAATAGTTAAAATTTATACATTTTTATTCAAAAGTATGATAATAAGGTGGTACAATCACTTGTCTTAGCATCTATTGCGCAACTTGATGTGAGGAATGTTTTTAGGCGGATTAATTATTCTAGTGTATTATTATGCTGTTCACTCTGAGTTTTCTCTTTGAAATGCAACCTTTTAATTACAAGTAATTGCAGAATATGAATTTAATGCAGTCCTGGAAAGCATAGAAACTTAAACCGCCTGATCAGATCATAGCTTTGATTTATCAGAAATAAATTATTTATATAAAAGAGTATGAAATTAATCAGGTAAAGAATATCGTTTATTACATTGGAAATAAGAGGGTTTATATACTGTTCGAATTTAGTGATTTGATGTGAGGATAAGGTATTAGATGGGTTGATTTGGGTAATAAGATAATAGATTGGATCTATTTTCCTGAACATGCCATGATTCGGATCGTAACTGAATCCTGTTTCATGTCAAAGTTTATGATCTGATGTGATCTGTGCTTGAACTGGTTGCCATTACGCATTTGGGGATCCGGTTTAGAAATGATACATCAAGCTTGTTGTTGTTTGGCAATGGATTAAAGCTGTTGCGCTGCACACTTTAGTTGGGGCTGACCTTTTGGTAGTGAAAATTCATGAAATTTTTTGATGCAACAGCTTCTAGTGAACCCTCAAACAATAAATGTTCTTTGGGTATACACAATGAGCAATTCTATAGGTAGAGTGGTGCAGGTTTAGTGTTAAGCACAAAGAATAAAAGGATTATAATTTGTAGCTTATAAAAAATGTTCGATATTATAAAAACAAGAAAAAGCTTATTTGAATAAGATCAGATACAAAAACTAAAGATATATTGATGAAGACAAGAGTTATTCTAAGTTCTGAATGCCAAAGTAGCAATTTTTCTTGTACAACGCTTATCACATCTGGTGAACCTCAGTATTTAGATAGCTGAGATGCACTTCAATTATCATAGCTTGTCCATGTTGTTGCACAACACAGACATATCTATCCATCAAGAATATCTTAATCTTTATAGACAGTTGTAGCCCTTCTGGCACAACATTTAGTACATAATTTTCTTGGAAAGCTCTACAAATATATGAAAAAAAAAGTAGGCCCATCTAGACAGAAAGCGTAGATAAACTATTAAGAATAACACCAATTGAGGCACATTTTTATTCTGCACCAAGCTACATGGCTAATATGACTTTATTCTGAGTCTTTCATCAACTTCTCTGCCTAAAGGTCGTAGAATACAAGTCTTTGAGCAAAAGCATGGAGGGAGCGTACATTGGAACTCCCAGATTCCTATTAAATTCTGTCAGCAGCGAGCAAATGCGAAGATTAACCCAGGTTCCATATCGAAGCGAGTAAAGCCTCAGCTGTTGTCGACTTTGAACGTAAAGCTTCCTGTCATCTTTGCATGTACATATATATAACCTGTTGGTCGCAAGTGATAGACGTATTGGATGTGTCAAGATTACACAATCAAATCTTGCTCTTTTTGTTGTCCAGTGGTGAACGCTCAAAAGCTGTGCTGCACACCTTACTATCTGATCTATTTGCAAAAAGCCACACCTGAATGCTTAAAACAATTCAAAAACGGGTTTACATTAAGAATGCTTGAATGTAAGCAAAAAACAGATAGATTTGGATGCAAATCACTTACGAGAATAAGAATCTCGATGTACGAAGAATTACTCTAATGCTATGATGGTTTATTGCTTTGTTCATTAGTAAATACATAGAATTAGGTATATTTGAGGTTGTTATTAGGCTTTTTTAGCTATTCTATATATGATGCGAGTAACTGGCAATACAGATAGCAGTTTCTCAGTCTTGCCGGGTTCCGCATTGGCATTGGCATTTGAAGTTTGCTGGTTATTTTCCGTATAATAGGGTAACGATTGCTGATTTTGTTGATATTGAGCACTCTTATTGTTCTTCATAGTGCTTAAATCAATCTGCTCTGATTCAACTGACGTTCCCTTGTCATGCTTCTCTTCGTCTGTCGCTTCATTCACATGAGGGAGGTAATTACCGATAAAGAGCACCAAGTGGAAAAATAGGCACAAGACAATCATCAAGGCATCAAAAACGTAGTATGTCCATTCATGCGTAGCAATCACACCTGTAGCTCCTACTGCATAGCTAGCGATACGATAAACGAGACGAACACAAAGCAAGACTGTGGTGATATAGATGACAGTAAAGAGCTTTCTCTTGGGATCTTGACCATGCACATGGAAATGATAGTCATCAGATCGATGGACATAACGGGCAGCAATCAGAAAGCAAATCAAGGTAGCAAGTTGAATACAGGAGCCAGCGAGTGACAGATGAGAGCCAACGGCTCTGCTATCCGGATCAGACTGGATGCCACCACCGACACCCTGCAGAATAGAGGCGATTATGTTGAAATCAAAGAAGATCTTTGCGAATCTGGGTCCGATCACCACAAACCTTGTTTCCACCCCTGAATAGACAATGACCTCTCTCACAGTTTTGTAATTGACAAGTGCGATGACATTTGCGCACAGAAGCAAAAAGATGGACATGGTAATAAAGAGGCCCATGCTGGGATTGTTGGCACATTCGAATCGTAGAGCATAACCAACGACCTGCAGTAAGGAGGTCAGAGGCAAAAGCAGTAAGAACATGCGGCTATGCGTCAAAAAGACTCTTGTGCATAATCCAAGGAATAACAGACCAAACACGATCATACCAACGTAGGTCAGTGGTAGATTGGGGCTGTACCCAAAGTATAAGGACGCTACATCCAAGCCATTAGGTAGTAATTGCATTTAGATAGTTGCGGATTAAAAGTATAGAAATAAGAGCTAAGAAGAAGAAATTTGCACAAACCTACTGACTTTTATAGGAACGAGATCATGGATCAACATTTTCTAGGCCACGATACACATTATATTAGACTTTGCCACAGTAATTCCTTTTTGACAGTGCTCGTGTCACTATATTTTCGGCCAATATTCTCTAAATATGGAAAAATTCATCTCTTTGCCAAGATCAAGACTAATGCTCAGCAGATGAAGAGGTTAATATCACCAAATACATTTTTTTCTTTATGTTGTACATCCAAGAAGTCAGCCACTTGCTTAGTCTTTGATTTCTTTCTTTTGAGCCGCTTGTCCTTCTTCGTTTCGTCTATGGTTGGCATTAATTGCCGTGTTCATCACGATAGTCAACGGTCATGATTCAGTCAACTTCTGATGGAAGATACTATAAAATAGTAGTCGATACAATGAAACATACAGTTTCTAATTAACTGACCGAACTATCCCTTTAGATGTCCATCAGAAAGTTTTGCAATGATAGATAGTACACACAATGATTTTGTGGTGAATGCAGCCCTTCGGCTTACAAATTAGCATCTAGCCCTCTGCTATTTTTGCATGAGGTTCAAAACGCATAGTTGGGACTTTTTGCTTTACTATCAGCTTGCCGTACACCAACTCGATGGATAGACTACCAGGTGAACTGTTGCTCTACATCTTATCGCATCTCAACTTTAAAGACAAACTGCAATGTAACTTGGTCTCTCAAGAATGGCATACTCGATTAAAACAGACAATTCTGTATCAGGGACTCTTGTTCAGAAATCCCTATCATTTGCATCAAGCCATCGACTTTTTTACAGACACACCCTTTCGAGAAACAGTGCATCGTTTGGACATGTCATTATGCGAACTACCCGTAGCAACGTTCATGAATCTCTCGTTGGTGTTTCCTAGACTCAAATATCTTCATATCGCAGATTTTGATCCCAAGTTCAAGGCACCTCGTCGTCCTTTAGAAATAGAAGCAGCCATCCTGAGCTCTTTGGAGAGAAGCGTGCAACGTTGGGAGTATCTAGAAGGGATTGTAGAAAGATCAGGTAGCTATCCCATCATCATGTCGTTCTTGAAAGCGCCCGAACCGGTCTATTTGACATCGATCAATATCACCTACAACAAACGACATGGCTCTATTGGAAAATATCAGCATAACCTCCGATCCTTGATTAAGCTCACCAAGAATGCGCCATGGCTTGAACAGTTTTGCGCTCGCTTTACGTTTGTCAGCTTACTGGATTTCGAGGAACTTCACCAAAACTGTCCCAAGCTACATACCATCTCTGTCACAACTCATGTGTGCGATTCAACGACAGGTCTGGATAAATGGTTTGATAGTGAAGCAGATCTCAACCATTTTCTGCCATACCACAGATCCAACATAGATGGAACTCCCGTAAAGAAGACAGCACAAAGCCTTAGGCACCTAAAGATCAAGTTAGCAAAGTCGTTCATGTCGGTGAGAGAGACAGAGATGACAATGGTGACCATCAACAATTGGCTTCAGTATATTGGACTGAAATACCCAAACCTGGCCAGCTTTGACATGCACAAAATCAGCAATGGACTAGAAGGGATGCAAGCACCCGAAAAGCAATTTGAGCAGCAGATAAGTTTTGCATTATCTCAAATGACTAGTCTAGAAATGCTCAACTCCAACCTTGTACCATTGTCAACAAATGTTGTGCAATCTATACCAAACGTAGCTGGAGATTTCCGCCAGTGTACACTTTACAGCTTCAAGCATTACACAATTCAAAAGCAATTGGAACGTATGCAATCTCTCAACAATCTCAATAAACTCACAGTGCTGCACATTATCAGCAACAAGAACAACAAGCAGCGTGCGCCGCTCAAGTTCAGCCTGCTAGAGTCGTTCAGCAATCTAACACAATTGACATTCACATCTCAAGTAAACAACTGCAAGAAGCAAATATCTGATATATTTGCCAATACACCCCACCTAGAGGCTTTGACGCTTTCTAGCGTGTGTCCTGTAGCATTGAATGAGCCTCTTTGCATGGCAAACAACAAGCTGAAAGTGCTTCAGATTCGACGATTCAACTTTTTTGAGCCATCAGACTGGTTTGATCTGAACTTGGCTCTCAAAAAGGACATCCTGCCGTTCTGTCCTATGCTGCGACGGTTTGACTTCAGCACGGTTCGTGCAGAATACAGATCAGATGTGTCGTTTTTACTAGCATTAGATTTTCGAAACAATCATCATTTACAAAAAGTGAATATCAATCTATTAGCAAGCACATCTTATAGGATCGATGGACAGAAGGCTGACATTGCTCTCTGCCCATTTGCTGTATATCCATTCCTTCCCAAGGGCTTCAGTGAATACACTGCCTGCACACTAATCGACTTGCCGCATCCCGTTTCGTTCAATAAAGATATGATTGAATAAGTTGTATTTGAAAAGAGATCAGATTCGATGACTGTACCTGCATGAAAATGAGACGTTTATCCAAAATGTGGTGAATCTAACTGATAAAAGTTTTTATCAGTTTCCGCTCTCTGTCAAACACTCTTTTCTCTTTTATTAACATACCTACATGAACCAGGTGTCTAATTCAACGGTTGTGGCAGAGACGGTCGCCATCAGCAACACAGTCGAGAATGACTCTATGCAGTTGGCAACTGACGAAGCAGCGGCAGCAGTAAATGGCTACACTGTCTTTATCCCTAATTTTACAGAACCGTGCACCCTGATCAGTTCCACTGGCGACAGATACAACGATACCATACAGCATAGCCTGATGAAGGACGCAGCCATCATTCAACAAAAGGTCGATACAGAACAGCAATCCGCCAACAACAGCTTTTTCCGTAATGTTAAATGGTAGGTATGGCCTCATCCGTTGACTGAAAAAATCAAACAATGCTGATTTAAGATGTGATTTGATAGGTCTCCAGATGGATCGTGCCTATTAACAAACAGTGCAGATGATGTATTGCGCCTATTTCAACTGTAATGTATACGGTGACCGAGCTTCTTTTTCGTGACAGCAAGACTAATCTCATTGCTCCACTATCATGCTAGGCCGGAAAATGTGTATCAAGACAGTGAGCATGGCAACTCTGTCTTGCCAATGTCGCCTACTTTGGGGATACGTGAGGGAGAATCGGTATATGACTTTGCTTGGTTTCCATTGATGAATGCTCAAGGTATGTTATGTCGTGCCTGATGAAGATGTTGACTGACACTATTCATGAACGCATATAGACCCATCCACATGCTGCTTCATCACATCTGTGCGAGATCATCCCATCCAATTGTGGGATTACACTGGATCCGTACGAGCATCCTATCGAGCCATTGATCACTGCGAGCGATTCATAGGCCCTAATGCGCTTGCATTCAATTTAGATGGATCCAAGTAAGTATCAGCAGTGTTTGTGCACATTCCACTGCTATCAAACGCTGACACGCATATTCTCCTCAGGATTTACGGTGGCTATGAAAACATGGTCGAGATATTTGATGTGCAAACAGGCGAGAGCACCAAACACCCTACTATTCCAAAACGAAAATCGAGAAAGGGACAAAAGGGCATCATTTCATGCCTCGATTTCAGCACTGATGGACTTTACGCCGCGGGATCTTACAGTCAGTCTATTGGCATCTACGACCAACTCAACAATGAACTTTGCTTGAAGCTGACAGGATTTGAAGGAGGAGCCACGCAAGTACAGTTTTCAAAAGATGGGCTGTACCTGTATTCAGCATCCAGACACAGCAACAGCATCCTATGTTGGGATATCCGAGATTCAGCCAATATATTGTTTGAACTGCCTCGTCCCGGCAAGACAAATCAGCGTATGCAGTTTGATGTGGATGCTACGGGGAAATACCTCATGACAGGCGATACAGAGGGCAATACACTGATATACGATCTATCTACAACAGCTACGGAGGACACCGAGACCAAACAACGTCTTGTTACATCATTCAAAGCGCATGACGGTAAGTGGATGTGACCTCCAACAGTGATCTACATACCAACATGGCTATTATAGACATCACTTCATGCGCAACATTTAACCCCGTGTATCCTGTGATGGCTACATGTTCTGGTCAGCGCAAATTCAGATTACCCTGTCAAGAAAGCGATAGTGAAGAGGAAGACGATCAAGACACCATCATAGACAACACGCTTAAAACATGGAGAGTGCATGGCCAATACGAATGGTTTCCATACGACACTACGCCCTTGGCTGTTGAGGAACCACAGCAAATTGTTTAAAAACGCCATTATACCTACTATGTACATACTACTCTTTAGAAATAAATGCAGCGTGTTTATTTCTCCAACTAGCACAATTCATATTTGGGATCAAACAAGGTACTGACACTCTCACCGAAATGGATTCTTCTAATAGCTTCAGCAAACAACGGAGCGACAGGCAAGATCAAGAATTTGCTGCATTTTTGGATATGCTGATCTTGTGGTACAGAATCACTGACAATGACATGATCCAAATAGCTTTGCTGAATTCTTTCAACAGCATCACCAGATAAGACAGCGTGTGTGATGAGGGCGTAGATCTTGGTGGCGCCATTCTCGTGCAGCAGTTTAGCTGCTTTGGTGATGGTAAATGAAGTATCGGCAATGTCGTCAATCAAGATGCACACCTTGTCACGCACATCACCCACCAACATCAAATCATGCTTTTGAGGCTTGTCAGGACGACGACGTTCTTTGTGGATCAGGGCGAAATCCATGTGTAGTTTCTCGGCAATACTGGTAGCACGCTTAGCACCGCCTGCGTCAGGAGATACAATCACGGCTTCACCGTAGTTGGGTATGTTGCGATAGATGTATTTGCCCATGGAAGGCAGAGACGATAGATTATCTACGGGGCAATCAAAGAAGCCTTGAAACTAAAAAAAAAAAGACAAGCTGCGTTAATCTATCTGTTGAATCTCATAGAGGAGGAAACTCTTTACTTGAGGGTCATGCAAATCCATGGTAATGATATGATCTGCGCCTGCACATGTCAATAATTCAGCAATCAAAGTACCAGATCGTACGACCCACTGCTTGTATCCATCATTGGTATTATTGTTTTGCTGCTGCTTTTGCTGATGATGTTGTTGAATGGCAGAGCCAGTGATGCCTCTGTTACTGTTCGCATTACTTCCGCCTCCCAACATGATTTGATGTCCAATGTCGAGGTCGCTGGATAACCGTGAGAATGTGGTATTGGGCACAGCAGGCTGGAAGGGGTTATCGATGTACTCGTTTTTAGGCGTGGAGGGCATAGTTTTAGGTGTGGAGGGCATAGTTTTAGGTGTGGAGGGCACTGTCATGGGTGGAGGACGGATAAAGGGAGCACCAGAGCGTTTGAATGGCGCATCAGGCTGTCTGGAATAAGGAAAGAAGGGAATGACGGCGGTAACCTTTCTTGCTGACGCTGTTTTACAGGCTTGAATCATGATGCAGAGCTCAAAAAAGTTATCATTGACATGGCCGCATCCAGATTGCACGATGTAGACATCTTGCTCACGTACAGATTCATACAATTCGACGCTGGTCTCATTGTTGCTGAATTTAGAAAGACGAGACTTGCCTGGCTCAATACCAAGACGATCGCAAATCTCTTGTACGAGCTTAGGGTGAGAAGAACCTCCTAACACAATGGGACCTCGCATGGCTGTGGTGCTGTATATATTTATATATATATAGTGTGAAAGAAACAGGAGAAGAAAAAAAAAAAAAGAGAGAGAAAGATTTTTCGGTGTTACGAATGTTTGGTTTAATCAGGATCCATAAGCCATCCTGATTTTATTGGACAGTTGCAGGAATTCATAGCTTATTACTCCTGCCTACAAGTTGCCTAAAGACAGCATCCAGCTTGATAGCCAGGTCCATTCTTCCTTTGATCTTTAACTTGCCCAACATAAACGCTCTTTGGCCTGGGACGTACGCATTAGTCGATAATATTGCACTGCATCTGACATCATTTACCATTCAATCTGCCCTTGACCAAGTCCACTATATCGCCATCACAAATATACAGAACCACATCCGGCGAGAATGACTCATTCAACGACGACGATGCGAGCTCAGCACTTTTTACCACTGTTACTGAACCTCCTTTTTTCAAATCAAGCATGTATGCCTGTGTTTTCCCTTGGTTGTTCTTGATGGTAAACTGAAATACGCCAGATATCTACTCCATGTACGCTCAATGACTTGGAATCCAATCCGCCTATGATCTTTACCTTGCTCAGCAGCTTTGATTTATCGTCCTCTGTCAAAGATCTCAACGCAGCATCCAAGTATTTAAATACAGCATCACTCTTAAATGCTGTGGACGGATTGTTGTTTGTAATAGTAGAGGAGGGCATTTCACGCACAAAAGAAAGAAAGGTGAGAAAATAAACAGAAATTGCATGAAACACCTGATTTTTATTTAAACACGGGCAGCTACCCAAATAGCTGATTTGCAGCCTTGTTTGATCACTGCACTCAACAGGCTATGAAAAGGCGCTTGGCGGGCATTATGATCCACAGCAATATCATGGTGCTCCAATTCATCATCTCTACAGCTTGCCACAGTCTTCATAATCGAGTTAGTTCTCTTCAATTATAACTAAAATAGCCACCTACTTTGGACAAGTAATCCAATTGCTTGTTGGGATGTTTGAGTGCATGCAATTCTCTCAGTTGCTCGTTGTAATGATCTCCAATCACTGTTTCTACTGCTTCTGTGCAAGCCATGGCAGCCTCTTTACCCAAAAGTGCCGTACCAGCACCCACAGCAAACCCGGCTACTTCCCAAAGGGGTCTCAATAAGCTCGGTCTCACACGATGCTCACCTACCAGATCGCTAAACAGCTCCAAATGATGCTTCTCTTGGTCCCACATCATCTCTAGCAAAGGTCGCAATTTGGGGTCACCTCCTAGTACTGCAATTTGGCCTTTATAAATGTAGTAGGCGCCTACCTCTCCAGATTGATCAACGCGAATCATGGGAGAGATAATGTCCTTTTCACATTGCGTTAATTCTCGGTCATTGGTGTTTGCTGTTGCTGTATCCATAACAGGATGGATGTGGTGCACCACAGTGGACAAGGAACGACACGACTTTGCAATGGTAGGAGCGACTCGACGAATGGCTAGCATGATGATACTGGGCTATAGATGGCTAAAAGAAAAGAGTGTAATCGTTACATCCTTTTGACAGTTTCGGTTATTGTGTCCGCTGCCGTTCAAACCCTTCCTAAAAATATCGAACCACTTTAAATTGCATAATGCAATTGATGCCAAATGCCAAAGTGTTGGAGTACAGTGGGATTTAACTGGAATGGCGAATATGCACATTCAGCCATGGCGACGAAAAGCACTAAGCAAATGCGCAACATGAAACAATACGTAGCCATTCATCAGAACGTTTAACTTAGACAAGGATACAACTCCCAGGTTTATTCAATACACAGACTCAATTTGACTTGATACCAGCCACATCATTTGCATGCTTCTTCAATTGCTTAAGAGATCCGAAACCAAATAAAATAGAGCTCAATGTCCATTTGATTGTATTCACAGGGGAGTACCAGCCTCTGCGGACACAGGTGATGAATGTATAGGCGCCCTCAGCCAAATGAACAACCACTAAACCCTTCCATATCTTGTAGAGCAATTCTGCACCCATCTTGTTTCGAAGCTCCAACACCTGAGGAGGGAATTGACGTTGTAGATAGGCATCAGAAGAGCAAGCTAATAAAGCTACAACGCCCAAGCCAACACCTATGTTCCACATGAGTTTCTTCTCGGGCAAGTAGAAGCTGTTCAAAGGCACCTGAGGTAGAGGAGGTGTATAGACGTCAGTGGAGGCAGCAATGGCTTTTGCAACTGCCATGAAGGGAGGCAGACCTGTTAGTGAGCTAGGCTGTCATTCTAGGTTTAGTATGTGCTGCGTGATAGACATGTTGGATCTATTGCTTACTAATCCTAATGCTTCTTCAGCTTCCTTGGCCATGGCTTCCAACACAGGTCGGATGTCCTCTCTCTTTTGTAATGGCGTCTTGAATGGGATAGAAACTTGGTGCGCTTGTGTATCGTTGGGTAGACAGTAACTCAATTGGAAGCTGCGAGAATCCAGGCTCTTGAAAGTTGCTTTTGTTGCATTATCAATATGACCAAAGTATCTCACATAAGCGAGATTGGTAGCTACATGCGTTGCATGTTGGTATAGCATTTGTAGATGGAATGGTATTCAACAAACCTTCATGGACGCTCATGTAAGCAGCGATGGGAGCACTATGAGGGGCAATAGGGTCAGACATGTTGTTGATGTGAGAGATAAATAGTAATAAGTGAATATAGTAATAAGTGAATATATACCAATTCATTATATAATGTCAATTTGCCTACTTTATCAGCTTTGTGAAACATGCCTTGTGGGCACATTGCCAGCATCTAAATTGAGTACAGTCATTTCAGAAAGGTCGCTCAATGTCGTGCAAAAAATTGCGCGGTCAAATAATGATATCAATATGCATATCTCTATCTCTAATCATATCCTTTCAAAATTTTGTGAATAAAACCATTGGCGAAGCCAGCATTGGGAGGGTGTTTGGGGGAGAGGCTTAGTCCCTCCACCAAGAACATCAAGCATCTCAATTTGCATGAAATATCTTTTGTTAAAATCAAATCGAATTGTCATGCCTCCTGTTCAAGCTAGAAACCATATAACCTGTAGAGTTGCTCTACCTGAAGATTTCAATTTTCGAAAATGTGATTTATGTCGAATAAATAGAGAAATTTGGTGCGTAAATCAAAAGAAATGAAAAGAACCGAGAGCACCGAGAGCACCGAGAGCATCTGCCGCTTTCATTTCAGAACTAAGAATGCGACGACATTATCTCCAAGAACATAATAATGCATCTAATTCAACACTTGATAACATTGATTTATAGGGGAGGTTTACCTTAGCGAAGCAAAGGCGTAAAGTCTATGACAACTAAGCATCTAATCCAACATTGGATGGCATTGTCTTATAGGGGGGGTTTTACCGTAGTAAATCAAAAGCGAAACGCCATGGTAATCAGGCGTCTAATCCAACACTTGATAACATTAATCTATATGAGGGCTTGACCGCAGCGAAGCGAAGGTTCAAAATCATAGTATTCAGCAGCAAATTCGGGTTTTCATTTCCATTGTTAATAAGCTTACTAGCGACATAGTGCATCAAAATTTGCATGAATTAGCTTTACCAAAACCAATATGCCTCCTACTTGAATTAAAAGTTGCTCAAGCTACAGAACTGCCTTTCCAGTAAATTGCAGCTACTAAAGATGTGATTTATGCCGTGTAAACACACTCTATAAAGCAATACATAACCAAATTTGACAGCTTTCAAGCCTTCATATCTTGGCATGTAGACCTTTATGAGCGATCGGAATGACGCCAAACAATTGTACTTGAATAGTTGTAACTTCCTAAAACCTTTGCTCAATTTTTTGAAGACCCAAAAAAACATGGCCAAAAGTCGACCAAAAAGCATGAGGTACCCCTCATGCTTTTCATCGAATTTCAAACGATCGCGTTTTCCACCTTGAAAATGAAGACTTTTACTATGGCATATATCAAATCAAAATGTTTCTCTCAATCCAAAGCAACCTCTGAAGCCACTCTTATGAGGCTTTCATATGCAAAATATGGCCATTTTCGCTAAAAACCTCATTTCATATTTTACTGGATTACTCGGTAATTTCATTCAAAACATCTATTACAACTAGCACCATTGGAAGCGCCTTGAAAAGTACTTCAAGAATGTATTAGGAAGCATAGGGTGATCATCACAGTTTATATAATCGAATATCACAGAATAGATTAAAAAAGTCGAAAAGAGACGATATCTGTCCAATCTTGAGCAGAAAAAAATAAACTGTGTTTGAACTGATTTTGGCAGCGGCATTGTTGCTGGCTGACCTAAATGCCTTGCTGTTAATGACAATGATGATTGCGATACTGATTAAATGGGGATCATGGAATTAAAAGGACAATCAATTAGCTTGAATCCTTTTATGTTTGGTTTTGTTGGTAGTTTTTCCTTATATAGGTGTCTTTTGCAATGATAATAACCTCTCAAAAAAGAATGCACAATCGATAAAAATCTTTGGCAAGCAATGCGACTGAAACATCGCTGCTCTTTTTGACCTTTCCATAGGCGTCGGTGTACGAGAACCGGTATCCAGAAGATGCATATACGTCAATTTTGTAATCTGGTCGATCGACAGCATCTTCAAACTCTTCTGGGACTATGTTCGAGCAATGCACAACTTTTGAGGGCTTCTTTGCTGACAAAAGGCCATACATAAATGGGTGGACGTAGCTGAAAGTCAGGTGTGCTTCAGAGAGTCGCTTCATGTCACAGTCGTACAGATACGGGAGTAAGGACATTATTGCCATGATAACTGCACATTCGTATTCCGTTGGTTCAATGGAATCTTGTGGTAAGGGAGTAACAACTGGTTCACAAAGTGAGAGAAGCTCGATTTTGGCTCGTGTTTTCGTGATGTTGTCATCCACAAACTGCTGATCTAACGTGCGGTTGGAATGTGCTGCGCTTGTACTTGGACAGTATTTCAGTGCGGGATACTGTCAATAAGGAGGGTGGAGAAATGTCAGTTGGCAAGTCTTCATAATTGCCCCGTCGCTGCAAGACAAGGATACCAGACATAGCCAAAAGCTCGTTGAAATGGCTCTAGACTGCAAATTCAGCTGTACGCGACGCAGTAATACAAGATCGGCGATATTCGTGGAATTGGTTTGAAACACTGTGGCCATCCAGGACCCATCGTTTGCTCCTCTTTTGTGATTCCACTGCGAGTGAAAGAAATGCTGGTTGCTGACGTCTTCCAATACGATGCCCGTCTGAACTTTGTACATTGGAAAGACACCAGAGACCCATCATTGCTCAACTAGAAACGTACTCCTACCACCGTTTTCAAGGCACTCCCTTCTGGCAAGTTGCAGTTTCAGCCATACTTTGTGCCAGTATGTAGCCCTGCTCCCTTGAGAGATTCTACTGCTTCCTTTGCTCCCTCGTCCAACAACTTCGACTCCAAGACGGTCAGGCTTTGAGCGCTACTAAGGCTTATGCCAAAATATTTCGTCAGTTCTCCCCCCCCCCCTCTGGCTTTGCGTAACATCTCTGCCACCAGTTGAAAGTTTTTTTGATCCCTATCACTTAGCTATATCCAACGTAATGTGCTATACCGATTTATCTTGGATTGTATTCCGCACGGCCGCCTCTTACACCGTATCATGCCCACGGTTTTCAAATCACCCTTGTGTCCTGTATGTCTGTCTGTAGAGGATTCCCCTAACCACCTCCTCACTAAAGAGAAAATTTGGCAGGGAGTCATTTTTGAATTTCTTTGGCCAACGACTTCAGCCCAAGAAATCTACGAGGCTCTTCTTACCCTGGAAGTTTCCAATGTCTGGTACTGCCAACTCAAAGGAATTAAACCATACTGAAATCTCATAATTACTCTCTCGCAGCTATGGCTGGCACATATGCGTTTTATCCACGACAAGGTTCCTACTGACCACACAGCGACATTGGCCAGCATCCCAAACAATGTTCGTCAGACCATTGATGAGGATCAGCGCTACTCCCTCCTGTAGTCATCTATTTAGAAGTATACGTATAGTTTAGCATAGTTTAGTATAGTTTAGTGCCCTATTATATCTTACCTTTATATTTTTTTCCATATGTACTTATCTCAATTGCACCCGCCTCTTCACACTGATCTATCACTCCTTGTGTAGGCGACGCAATCAATAAACAGAATTTTAAAAAAAGGACCCATCGTTTGTCTTTAGGAGATATGTTTTCAAGCGATGGCGCTCTTTTTACATGGTTATTGTCGACATGATGCGCGAGCTCTGAAACAGTGATATATATGTCGCAACAGCCAGGGCAAGCGAATTTAATACTGAGTGTTGTGCCTTCTTGTGTGTATTTCTTTATGTTGCTTGTGTTGTAGACATGCACTGGAATTCTGTCTGTTGATTTGCCATGGTCTTTCTTCGAACGTGATGTGAGATTCTTGCCGTGTTTAGTGAATATATGCCTTTTCATATCTTGAAATCTGCTGAATGGTTCCTCACAATCCAGGCATAGCTTTTTTAACAAAACGATGGCACTATTGAACGCGCATTTTTTTCGCACGACATTGAACTCAAAATCAGCGACTTTAGTTTCTGAAATGACTGTATATAGTACGCATATATGGTCATAAATGCGTAGTAAGTCGTAGTTTAATGAAAGCTCAGGTACATGTAAGATCGCTTCTAGTGAATAGGATTGAGTCATATTACTAAACGCTCTTTACCGTATACGCCCGATTTCAGGAACATTTGGACCCTTCGTAACGAAGCGCTGATTATCAGATCGAATGATGACTAATCTATACAGTCCTGAAAGACTGTTGCACACTTTTGATCTACCCAGGATCCATTCTAATATTGGCTTCCATTGTGATTCGCTGCTCCGAGCCTTCAATGCTATATAAACCCGCCTCATCCTATACCACTTAAAAGCGTCTCCATCCCAAAAACTCCCTGATTTGGTATTTCGACTGTGAGAAATTTGTGTTTGTACACTTTTTCTAACACAAAATGTATCGTCGTCGTTTGTTTACATTTATTTCTTCCTCTTCTCCCTGTTCCTCTTTGATTACCAAACGTCAAATTCGACAAAGATTTGTCTCTAGCATGCCCACTCTATCTCAACGCTATTTTGCTGATGAAAACGCTCCTTATTCACTCTTGGAAGCAAAGCCCTTCTTTGAGACACTCACACCCAAGGAACAAAAATATGCCCACTTTATGTCACGCGCTGCCTTTGAGGGTAGTCGCATCCTTATTGACCAAACCAACCCCAATGCCTTGCCCATCTTTGACCTTATCCTCAAGGTCTTTACCGACAAACAGGGCAACATGATTGAGACCGACACTCTATTCAAAGCAAGGTAATTCCACTGACGCACATGAGAGAAGAAACATGCCATTGACACACATTGGGTGTCGAATTTAGTCAAGTATCAGAAGAGACATTCGAGCAATTTCTTCAATATGCTGGCCAGTTCTTGGGAAATCAAAGCAACTACAAGTCATTTGGTGATGAAAAGTTCATTCCTCGTTTGAGCAGCCAGGATTTTGAAAAGATTGTACGTGCATCCGGATCCCATGAAGCCGTTGCACTGTTTGAGCAATCTAAAGAAGAGATTTATAGTGTGGAGCCTGTTGCCCGTAATTTGCTCGGTTTTCCTCAAGAAGGACATGTGTCTGGATATTACACACCGAATGTAACCAACGACGATATCAAATTAGTGCAAGAATTTCTCGAAAAGGAAAGAATTGACCCTTTGAACACTCGCTTATTCAAAGGCCAAGACGGCAATTTTAAGCTTGTTATTGCTGCTGCTGAAGAGGAACTTGAGGAAAAGACACACTCGCTCGGCAATGGCAGCAAAATCACCATCAGCTATACTGATTTCCAACAACCCCTGAAAAAGGTTGCTCAAGCCATCCAAGACGCTATTCCTTACGCAGCCAGCGAAACACAAAAGAAAATGTTGGAATCCTACTACACTACCTTTAGAAATGGCTCCATGCAAGCCTTTGTCGATTCTCAGCGTTATTGGCTGCAGGATCTCAGTCCACAAGTGGAAACCAACATTGGATTCATTGAAACGTACCGTGATCCTCAAGGTGTGCGCGCAGAATGGGAGGGTTTCGTTGCCATGGTGAATCAGGAACAGACACGCAAGTTTAACAGATTAGTAGATAATGCGCCCCTCTTTGTGTCTCGCTTGCCCTGGACAGCTGAATTTGAGAGAGAAACATTGAACAAGCCTGATTTCACATCGTTGGAAGTTCTGTCTTTTGCTACTGGTGGTATTCCAGCTGGTATCAATATTCCCAACTTGACAGAGTTGACACAAGTGTATGGATCAAAGAATGTTTCTTTGGGCAATGTCATTTCCGCCAAGGCCCCCAACGAAAAGTTCCCCTTTGTGCGCGAACAAGATCTCCAGCTCTATAAAGATTACCGCAACCCCTCCTTTGAAGTGCAAGTGGGTACGCATGAATTGGGTCATGGTACAGGTAAACTCTTTTCTGAAGACGAGAATGGCAAGCTTAATTTCGATGTCGAATCTGTTGTCAACCCCATCACTGGAGAGCCCATCAAGACGTGGTACAAGCCTGGACAAAACTTCAATTCCAAGTTTAAAAGCATTGCATCCAGCTACGAGGAATGTCGCGCTGAATGTATTGCCTTGTCCCTCTCACCTCATGAGGATATTCTCAAGATTTTCAATTATGAAGGACAAGAGGCTGAAGATATTTTGTACATAATGTATCTCAACATGGCAAGAGCTGGTCTTACTGCTCTCGAGTTTTATAATCCTGATGCCAAAAAGGTAAATTGTGCTGTTTTAGTCAAGATTGCCCGTTGGTTGACTTTTTTTTCCATCTAGTGGGGTCAAGCACACATGCAAGCGCGTTATGCTATTATGAATGTCATGTTGGAAGCAGGCCAAGACTTTTTGCAATTCAAGCCTTGCACTGTAGATGGACAAGAGAGTTTGGAGATTTATTTAGACAGGAGCAAAATCAGATCTGTGGGTGCACCTGCTGTGTCCAAGTTTTTGACCAAATTACAAATCTACAAGGCCACTGCTGATGAAGTGAACGGTACTCAACTTTACATGGATGCCACACATGTGCCTGAGAAATGGACCAGTATCCGTGACATAGTGATCAGATCCAAGCAACCTCGTAAAGTGTTTGTTCAAGCCAACACCATCTTGAAGGAGGACAAGGTTGAATTGAAGGAATATGAGGCTTCTGCTGCTGGTATGATCCAAAGTTTTGTAGAGAGACATATTTAGATCATTTATTGTTAAATAAAATATTCTTTGCGTGATATGCTGGAATGCATGGTTTAAAGCTATCCATGGTGGCAGTTAATGTTTCAAGACTTTAGCCCCTTGGCGATTCGAAGCAGCAGAAGCATCATTAAAGCCTATCAAAGTGGCCTCATCATCTTGCAAGCTTGGGCGCGATACCATGTATGAGTAGCGAGTATCAGGTTTACTACTAGCAGGCATTTGGTCCTTTGGCAAATGATTTGCAGGAGCCTCTGCTTTTTGAATCCATTGTGCCCTTTGGGTACTAGCAGGCATTTGGTCTTTTGGCAAATGATTCGCAGAAGCCTCTGCTTTTTGAATCCATTGTGTCTTTTGGGTATTAACACTCTTTGTGCTAGCACGTCGCTTACGCCAAAAATAAATGATGAGTCCAACAAGAACAATGCCCTATTGGTTGCAGTTCATTTTTTTTAGTTTGTTGTACGTAATACCATCATACCTAGTAACCTACCGCTACTGTCGCACCAACGGAGATACCAACAATGAGAGCAGTATTAGAGGAAGCATCGATAGATGTCTCTCCAAGATCCCATGTCATTGGATCATGGTATGTCTCATAAAGGCTTATGTTCTTGGGGTCGGTAGTATTCAGCATCAGGATATCGTTGACAGCTATTGTTGCATTATTCTTTCCGAATAGAATGAATAATGTATTACTGTCCTCTTCCATAACATCTATGTTAATGTGTAAGTCTTGCGAGGTATCCCAAATTATTCATTTATCGTATACGTACATGAATGTCTAGTTCTGATGTATTTAGTAGCCAAGGATGCTTCAATTGCTTGCTGAACCCATTGTTTAGTATCGAGATTCAATACGTAGCAAAAGTCAGAGACAGCTTGGGCAAATGTTAGTTTCGAATACAGGATTTTTACGTTTATATGTAATAACACACCTCCTTCTTTGCTTTCACCACCGTAAAGCAAGACGTCTCTTTTGGATGACACTGCCAACATGGTTAATCAGTATATATATATATATATATATATCTTTGCTCAATGAAGTCTACTCACAAAGAGTCGTAGTATGATACTTTCTTGAGCTCGGTTTAGCACCTCCCCATGTTTGATTTCCCCAGGTATGAGTCTCTACATTGTAGAATAGAGAGTAATTGAAAGTGTGCTCGATGGCCGTAGGTTGGTCATGCAGAGGATCATCAATATTATAGTACTCTCCACCAAAGAAATATATATTCTTGGATTCTTTATCATAGATAGAACTTTGGTGAGCACTATACACGGTAGGGACTCTACTTTGTGAAGGCACTCTCCAAGGCTAATTCGTGATTGCATTAGATGTATGCAGTCGATTGAATGGTGAGAGGAGACTTACTGAGAAGGAATCGCTCAGGTCGAGAAATGTCATCTTTGGATAACCAATTGTTCTTGATGATCCTCCGTTGAACTCTGCTTTGGTCAAATTCTGGCCTGTTCCCATTGTCCAACTACGATTGATGTTTCTTAAGATGCAAACAAAGGTTGAGTGTGATATAAGTCGCAGATGGATTGGTACTTACTGCTCGAAACCACCGTAAAACCCAATACCGACATTAGGTACATCTACGGTTGAAGCGTAGTATCTAAGAGGAAAAAAAGCAAATGATCAGATACGTATGCTTTACGCAACCATACATAAAGTAGTGTTGTACATTTGTCTGTTCCCAAACGATCCATCAACGAAGTTTGCGTATTTCGACCATTTCTGTGTGAATACATTATAAACAATCGTTTGATCAGCAATAGGCCCAGAGCCATTGTTAAAGCCACCACTGAGAAGAAATTGGTGTCCATCTGGAAGAGCAATACCTTGAGCATGGGATCGGGGCAGAATGTCTACTCGTTCTGCTCTTGGCGCTTCTGTAACCCATTTGTCTTTGATCTCTTGTGCGGTATTTTCATTGCAAAAGGTAAGATCAATCATCATGACTGTATTGTCTGGCAATGTATTATCACCAACTGCAGGGACACCACCAAAGCAATAGATACTTCTGTTTATGAAATCACAGTCTATGTGTCATGGATGGTAAGTTAGAAGTGTAGTTGATTTTGATAGCAAATTGCAATTACTAGCATCAGATCGGGCTACCGATGGCTGCCCAGATACAGCGCTCAGCGCAATGGCAGAGAGTATTATAAGCAGCTTCTTGAGATTAACAGTTTTCATTGAATGAAAGAAAAGTGCTCAAACATTCAAAGTGATTTATGAAAATGTATTTATAAACCATCGTTTCACATTGAAGCGCTCGTATGGTATGATATCTCAATATTTATGAATTTTGCCATTCACATGCGACTGTTGGAAGGTCCTAAGTGTACATAAAAGACATTGCATAATAGCCTTCCATAGCAATAAAGCTTTACAGTTGGCATGCAATGCTTAATTTCCAGATAAATACCATGTATGCTTAGCAATGGACCTGAGCGACATTTGAATCGAGAAGTTATCGTGGCCACAACAATTGTCGTACTGATGCAAATGAGAAGATGTAATCTTACTAGCATCATTCAATTTATGGTGTAACGAGAATTTGAAAGTTGTTAAAATTAGATGTCAAATTGGACTATTTGGATTACGCTGGCATGATACAAGCTCAGAGTACCGTTTTACTTACGAAGCTGTACTTGAACTCAATGTATTTTTAAACATACACGTAATTGACCTACTAGTCGACCTATCTCGCTACGCTCGATATCGGCGTCGCCCTGTAGGCTGTCGGCAAAGACATTTTAAATCAGATATTATAACATTTTGGTAAATCAAGTAGATTTTTAACAACCAATTATTAGTTAGTAAAAGAAAGGTTATATCAGGGTCAGGAGGAGGAGAGGAGGTATCTCCCTCAGCATCCTTTTTGCTTACACTGATATCAAACAAAGTCTATTTTTGGGCCAATGTGAAAGAAAATTCAAATTTTATGCAGCATTTGTACATCACAATTGTCATTTTCTGATAATAGAATTACCGTATCTTTCGCTGCTGCTGATGCTCTTAAAAAGATGGCAACATAAAGCTGGTCTTAAGTAATACAAGACTTGTGTAAGATATACAGCGACGTTCCTAAGATATTGTCATTGCAAAAGACATCTTTATAAGGCAAAGCGTCCCAGAAAATATATTCAGGCTATCTAATTGTCCTTTTAATTCCATGATCCCCATTTAATCAGTATCGCAATCATCATTGTCATTAACAGAAAGGCATTTAGGTCAGCCAGCAACAATGCCGCTGCCAAAATCAGTTCAAACACAGTTTATTTTTTTCTGCTCAAGATTGGACAGATATCGTCTCTTTTCGACTTTTTTAATCTATTCTGTGATATTCGATTATATAAACTGTGATGATCACCCTATGCTTCCTAATACAACTTCGCCTTGCTCGCTCTCTTGCTCGTTTGGATGCCGAGTTAAATCTTGATTCGTAAGTATTCAGTTTTACCTTTTCGTTCATTCTTCTGTCACCTTTTTTTTTTCCAACCCATTTTCCATCCGATCCTTTGTCTCTATATCCAGTCTTTTCTATCCCTCAGCACGACATTTAAAGGACTTTAAATAAAACCTGGAGCTCGTCTCCCCTACAAAAAAAATGCTTCCTAATACATTCTTGAAGTACTTTTCAAGGCGCTTCCAATGGTGCTAGTTGTAATAGATGTTTTGAATGAAATTACCGAGTAATCCAGTAAAATATGAAATGAGGTTTTTAGCGAAAATGGCCATATTTTGCATATGAAAGCCTCATAAGAGTGGCTTCAGAGGTTGCTTTGGATTGAGAGAAACATTTTGATTTGATATATGCCATAGTAAAAGTCTTCATTTTCAAGGTGGAAAACGCGATCGTTTGAAATTCGATGAAAAGCATGAGGGGTACCTCATGCTTTTTGGTCGACTTTTGGCCATGTTTTTTTGGGTCTTCAAAAAGTTGAGTAAAGGTTTTAGGAAGTTACAACTATTCAAGTACAATTGTTTGGCGTCATTCCGATCGCTCATAAAGGTCTACATGCCAAGATATGAAGGCTTGAAAGCTGTCAAATTTGGTTATGTATTGCTTTATAGAGTGTGTTTACACGGCATAAATCACATCTTTAGTAGCTGCAATTTACTGGAAAGGCAGTTCTGTAGCTTGAGCAACTTTTAATTCAAGTAGGAGGCATATTGGTTTTGGTAAAGCTAATTCATGCAAATTTTGATGCACTATGTCGCTAGTAAGCTTATTAACAATGGAAATGAAAACCCGAATTTGCTGCTGAATACTATCTTCGCTTCGCTGCGATCAAGCCCCCATATAGATCAATGCTACCAAGTATTGGATTAGACGCCTGATTACCATGGCTTTGCACTTTTGCTCCGCTACGGTAAAACCCTTCTATAAATCAATGCTACCCAATGTTGGATTAGATGCATTATTATGTTCTTGTATATATATATAGTGAAGATAATGGTATGTGCTGTGCATCGTTTCTTGTAACGAACAACATATACCAGCCAATGATGCCATTTTCAGGCACAGGTTTGCTTTCATACAGGCAACTTGAGATGCTCAAATAAAGCCCAAATCACCTCACTGTCGATTCTAATAAAACCAATATGCTAACGTGATTAAATAATAAAGATGACTCAATTTTTACAGAGTGTTTCGTATAGAAACTGATGAATCGCACTTTTCATTACAAAAACGGCATGCAAATGTATTAGAATGCCAAGTATGGTGATTTGTCAAGACGATTGCCAATGTTGAGTAGGTGGGTTTTGACCTCAGTTTGCATTTTCTGCGTAGACCGGAGCCTACAATTGTAGAGATGGTATGTAGCAGATATGATCTGATAGCTATGCTCAAATTGATGGTAGAAATTAAAGCAATCTATATCTATAGCAGCAGAGATTCAACCAAGATTTGCTTTTTGGGTGCATTCTACATACCTCAATGCAATCTCTATACCGAAATCCCTTTCCAAATACCATCAGTTGTGTGGGGAAAGCGTGGGATCATTAATGCCTTCATGTCCAATAGTATAAATAGTCACTTCATACTGGCCCATCAAATGAACAAGGTACAAGAAGGCCCAAGAAAAAAGTTTTTCCTTCTTCCTTTTGCAAATCAAACTTACATTATGAGTAATTTTATCAACAGTTTGTTGTATGGATTTACCAACATTCTCTCGGTTGGCCCTGAACAACCTAGAGAAGGCCAAGAAAACGAGGGCGGATGTAGCGGTTCCAATGGAGAGGGATGTTGCAAGGACAAATCTCAAGAGCCCAAGGCAACATCTGGCTGCTGTCAAGGTGACAATGCTGGAGATGCTTGTTGCTCTTCGTCCGCTGAACCCACCGCTGCTACTGTAGAAACCAACAAAGAGGACGGTTGTTGTCAATCTACTGCTGGAAAATCATCGTGCGCTTGTGAATCAGCATCGAATGAACCTGTCATTATCGACAACTTGAAGATTATTTTCTCAACATTGACCGGCACAGCAAAGACCATGGCTACCGAAATCGAAAACAAGATCAACACCAATGAGCGAGTTACAGTAAACAAGATTGAAGTCATGGATGTTACTGAATACGACAATGATAATTTGCTGCAAGAAACCGCAGTTTGTGTCTTTATCCTGTCAACTTACAATGTGGAAGGCCCCTTGGATTGGTAAAGAATGGTATTCTACGCAATCACTAGCAATGTACTTATAAAATGACTCTACAGGTTCTCCAATTGGCTTCATGATCTTCGTTATGATTTCCGTGTTGATCGTGATGCATTGAAAAAGTTGCGCTATGCTGTCTGCGGTTTGGGCGACTCGGCTTACGGCGATGAATTCAATATCGCAGCAGCCAATATCGATAAATGGCTGGGTCGTTTAGGTGCCACTCGCATCTATCCTTTGGGTGAATGTGACAAGAATGCAGATCAAAAGGCACAGTTTGATGTGTGGTCGAATGGATTTGTTTCAGAGTTGGAGGATAAGCACAGCTTGGAATTCTCACCTACCAACATTGCATTTCAATCAGACGATGAAGACGACGAAGCATCTGCTGAAGAAGAAGAACAGCAACCTGATATCGATATTGATGGCAGTGGGTCCGGCGATGAAATGGTGGATTTGGAGGATATGGGCAACATGGCCAGCAAGATCAAGGCTGCTAAAGCCAAGCGTGCTGAAGAGGAAGAAGATTTCGAAAACAGTAAAGCCAAAGCCAAGCGATTGATCGGCACAGATGCAGGAAACAAGCCCAAAACTGCACCTCAAGCTCGTGAGATGGTATCACCCATGATTCTCAAGAACTTGACCAAGCAAGGCTACAAGGTGATCGGTTCTCATTCAGGTGTCAAGATTTGTCGTTGGACTAAATCTGCATTGCGTGGTCGTGGCTTCTGTTACAAGCACGCTTTTTACGGTATCCAAAGCCATTTGTGTATGGAGACAACTCCCTCTTTGGCTTGTGCTAACAAATGTGTCTTTTGTTGGAGACATCACACAAATCCTGTCGGCACTACCTGGCGTTGGAAGGTCGACGATCCTCAGTTCATCTTGGATGGTGCCATGGAAAACCACTACAAGATGATCAAGCAGCTGAAGGGTGTTCCTGGCGTCAAAGCAGAGCGTTTCCAAGAAGCATTCACTATTCGTCATTGTGCTCTATCACTTGTCGGTGAGCCCATCTTTTACCCTCATATCAATGAATTTGTCACCAAACTGCACGAAAACAACATTTCATCATTCCTGGTGACAAATGCTCAGTTCCCTGACAAGATCGCCGAGATGGTGCCTGTCACTCAACTTTATGTTAGTGTCGATGCTGCCACCAAAGACTCACTCAAGAAGATTGATCGTCCTCTGTTTAGAGATTTCTGGGAGCGATTTTTGAACTGTTTGGAGCAATTGGCATTGAAGGGCCAACGTACAGTGTACCGTATGACATTAGTCAAGGGCCACAACACAGCAGAAATTGACGGTTACGTTGAATTGATTCGTCGAGGCAAGCCTTCGTTCATTGAAGTCAAGGGTGTGACCTATTGTGGCTACAGTGGTGCAAGTGATTTGACCATGGCCAATGTTCCTTTTCATGTGGAGGTCATTGATTTCTGTCAAAAGTTGGTGTCTAAATTGGATGGTGATTATGAAATTTCAGCAGAACATGCTCATTCCTGCTCCCTTTTGATTGCTCACAAGGATTTCAAGGTGAATGGTGAATGGCACACGCATATCGATTACCCCAAGTTCTTTGAACTTGTCAAGAGCGGAAAGCCTTTCAACAGTTTAGATTACATGGCCAAGACTCCCGACTGGGCACTTCATGGCCATGAAGCTGCTGGTTTTGATCCTAATGAAACTCGCCATTATCGCAAGAACAGAAAGACGGTTGTGCCACCTGTTAATGCAGATATCAATGCAGCTTAAAGTTTCTATTTATACACTTTTATTTCAAAATTATATGGAGTTTTAAAACATTGAGATTTAGTAACATGATGTATATATCAATTCGACACTGTACTTACCCTTAGTGTGACCTTTGGATTAAGAGCGATAACCCTTGAGGTTCAATCATCTCTGCTTGACGGCGACGAAATTGTGGGGGGTGGATGTCTTGAACAGCACGGATTGATGTCAAGATTTGAAGCATGTTGAGACATACAGACAAATCATGATTCCACAATCTGTGATGAACCAATTGTGCTTAAGCTACATTTGATAGCTCGAAATTGTATGGATGATCGTTGCTGCGGATTCATTGTGAGAGGAAATTGATAGTTATGCAGTATGAGGAGAGAAAAAGAGAAGGAAAGAAGGAAAATAAGGCTGATCAAATAGGGCTGGATGTTCCAAATCAAACCCTGATTTATTCATGTCTAAACATTTCACTACATACGTTTTCACTGACTGCAAATATCGGATCACACAATTAAGAGCTAGATTGAGTGCTGAGGCAGTACAATTGGGGCAACTTCAACTGGTAGAAATACAAGGGGGTAGTTGAAGCGCTTCACAAAGGTAGCATCACTATGTATACGAGTGTATCTACGCTTCGGGCGGCTCTCTATCTTTGCTTGGCTTCGGTGAGAACCAACCTGCGCTGCCGATTGCCTTTGCTCACCTCATCAAAATACTGCTAATTTTATTTTAAACCTCTACTTACACATGAGAACCCTTCATGTTATCTGTGGATCTGACCATTATGCGATGTTACACACTCGAATACACGTAAATACTTCATATACTGGTAAGCAGCATCCTGGTATTATCCCTTTTAGTCGAGAGTGTGTCTAATACAGCAGAATCAGGGTATATTTAAGCCGTGTTTTCTCATGTTATTAGAAACCATTTTAGATTGTCTAAGTGGCACCAGGCAATTGTTCTCGTCTAACACTTACTTTCTGACACCTTTGCTCAGCTTTTTGAGGACCAAAAAAAAACATGACCAAAAATCGACCAAAAAGCATGAGGTACCCCTCATGGTTTTCGTTGAAAATCAAACGATCGCGTTTTTGACAGCAAAAATGAAGACTTTTACTAAGGCATATATTAATTCAAAATGCTTCTCTCGATCCAAAGCAACCCTTGAACCCTTATTTGCGAGACCTTTGTATGTAAAATCTCAACATTTCCGCCATAAACCTCATTTCATATTTTCAAAGATTGCTCAATACGTTTACTCAAAACATCTATTTTGCTTGGCACCATTGGATGTGCCTTGAAAAGCATTCCAAGAAAGCTTAAAAAAACGTAAGACGATGATCATATTTTATATAGTCGAATATGCCAAAATAATTCAATCGAGTCGAAAAACATTAATATTTGGCCAATCTAAAACAGACTATGAGTCTAAGTTAGAATTGTTTTTGCCTGCTGGTGGGCTTACTGGCAAACTCACTTCCAATATATTTATGAAGGCAATAATAATAAGTGCGTTTGAAGCCAGTGGAAGATAAGTGGTGGATTAAATAGAAGCGTTGATAAACATTTGCGAATCGTTTCTGGTCAAAAATCAAACTAATATACTGTATATATAATGACTTTATTGCGACCTAATACATAAAAACGAATCGACTTGATCTACTAAGAACTTGCTTTTCTTTTTCTCGATGTTCTCAACAAGATAAGTTCCTCCCAGTCCTTGAATGAAATAACATCTTCTTCAACTGTGATCTTGGAGAGGGATTGCAGTATTTGTGATTCCAATTCAGCATCAATGACACTATTGAATTCGTCGCCATCAGTTGCCAGTATTTCTTGTTGTTGTAACCCTTCAGTGCTGTCAGAGCAGAAGTTCAATTCACTGTCTGATGAAAAGTGCATTGTGTCTAATTGATGAGCATATTTGGCCTCAAGGATGGTATTCAGCTTTGCATAATTCAAGTAAACCAATCTTCTCAAAGATAAGACGGCAGCCAGGACATTTGCAAATGACGCTGCATGATTTTCGTCTTTTGGCACAGAGAAAGTACCTTTTGTGTAGGTTACAAGATGATTCTCTGATACATGTCTGGTTCCGTATATAGTGAATTTCAATGCCTGCCACTGACAGGTAATGGCTTCAAGTTGTTTCATAATTTCCACACTTCCAAGATGCCCAGTCCATTTCCTTAATATAGTCTTCTGTAGCGTCTTTCCTTTCTTCATATCACTTTTCACGCCTTTTAATCCGGGTTTTTCTTCTGCTGAGAGATAGTCATTATCATCGTTGATATTTCTTAAAATGAAATCCACGCGTTGATTATCAATATCTTTGAATTCTTTAGTGATATTGGAGTAACAGTCTGCTCGCTTTGAAGTGAATTTATCATCGTAAATAAATGCATTGTCGAAAACAGCTGAGTAGACATGAGCACGGAACCATGATTCATTGTTATTTGTTTTCAATAAAAGACGTGAAGACCAGAGCTCTGCCATTGTAGAAAAAGCTAATCTGATGTATCGGCACATTGGATCCATATCTCTTTGCGCATAAAAGCTTGTTAACAGATTCTCAATATCCACCCCATTCTTGCATTCGGCGATCTTTATCAACATATCTCTTTCGTTTTTTGCTATCATAGGTTGTAGCTTCAATTCCAAGCTATTGGCAGTTTCCTTAAGTTTTTTTTTATATCGGTTTGCAATCTTGTCAGTCATCAAGTCCAGATATCCATCAGTACCAAATTTATCACAAAAAAATGCCATCCTTTCATTAGGAGACATAGTTGTGTGGAAATGAGTGGATGGGGCTTGACTGACTCCCTGACGTTGTTGATCTTCCTCATTTTGTTGACTTTTCGAGGCTTTGTTTATGACAGCTTCGTCTAAAATTTGTTGTGAATATTTGCCTACATGCAACAGCTTCTTGATTGGCGTTGAGATGCAGATATGATGAATGGCGTGCTGCAATGATTCAATTTTCTCTTTCTCTTCGACACTGCAGTTGGCAATTCGATCTTGATAGTTGCTGAGACACTCTTTCAGATATATTTCTCCTAATTTTTTCATGTTGTTATCTGTGGGCTCGACAATAAGATTCAAATCGATAAGGATTTTCAAAGCGGCTTCGTATTTCCATTCAGATATAGCATGTTGTTTCAAATATTCATCAACAATCCCACAGATTCTTTCCTCATCCTCACTTAGATTCAGGGTAAGGTTGATGGTCATTTTTATGGAGTAAGAGATGTAAAAGAATCTAAGGTGGACTTTGTAATCGTTTCTACGACGTGACCTGTTTTATATCCGTCTAAGATACCACTGTTTTCTTTTTTCTTTTTTCCCAGAACACATTTATTTGGAACTCGAGTAAGTTTATGATTGTTGGCATGAGCTAATTGAGGCACAGCCACTACAGACAATCGACAAGTTCTTGCTTCTGTTATCTTGCTCTTTTTCTTGAAGACATTTGCTTGGAACGTGGGTTTATTGAGACAGCGTTCATGGTTGTTGGCATGAGCTAATTGAGGCACAGCCACTACAGACAATCGACAAGTTCTTGCTTCTGTTATCTTACTCTTTTTCTTGAAGGCATTTGCTTGGAACGTGGGTTTATTGAGACAGCGTTCATGGTTGTTGGCATGAGCTAATTGAGGCACAGCCACTACAGACAATCGACAAGCTCTTGCTTCTGTTATCTTGCTCTTTTTCTTGAAGACATTTGCTTGGAACGTGGGTTTATTGAGACAGCGTTCATGGTTGTTGGCATGAGCTAATTGAGGCACAGCCACTACAGACAATCGACAAGCTCTTGCTTCTGTTATCTTACTCTTTTTCTTGAAGGCATTTGCTTGGAACGTGGGTTTATTGAAATTTACTTAGGGGTCTGGGGTTGGGATCAGATGTATTTCGACCTGCTCGTTGGTTGATCCTGCTAATCATGATGTTTATCCATGAGAACTGACAGAAATACGCCTTTTATGTAGTTCCTCTTTTCTTGATGTAATAAAGCTGTACGCATTGATGTTTTATTGTATCCTATTTACCTCGGTCTCGCCAGCCAGCCGCCGTCCAATCCGGTACAATCTCCGTCAATGTTTTTTTCAGTATGAGATTGGTCAGAGTCTGTTCAAAATGAACTTAATTTATCTATTTTACTGGATTCGACTATATAAGTCGTGGTAATGAGCGCATCCTCCCTTAAGCTTTCTTGGAGTGTTTTTCAAGGCACATCCAATGGTGCCAAGCAAAATAAATGTTTTGAGTAAACGTATTGAGCAATCTTTGAAAATATGAAATGAGGTTTATGGCGGAAATGTTGAGATTTTACATACAAAGGTCTCGCAAATAAGGGTTCAAGGGTTGCTTTGGATCGAGAGAAGCATTTTGAGTTAATATATGCCTTAGCAAAAGTCTTCATTTTTGCTGTCAAAAACGCGATCGTTTGATTTTCAACGAAAACCATGAGGGGTACCTCATGCTTTTTGGTCGATTTTTGTTCATGTTTTTTTTTGGTCCTCAAAAAGCTGAGCAAAGGTGTCAGAAAGTAAGTGCTAGACGAGAACAATTGCCTGGTGCCACTTAGACAATCTAAAATGGTTTCTAATAACATGAGAAAACACGGCTCAAATGCATTTGAGCTTTGCTGTGGTTTGCATGTTTTTGGGTAGTAAAAAGTAATGCAAGTATACTACCTGCCAGTATATGCATCATGCCCATCAATACAAACGCGAAGCAATGTAGAGAGATTAGACCCTCAGTGTCATGCCAGCCAGAGAGGGTGCTCAAGTAATACTAAATCATTAAATGGCTGAATTTCAGTGGATATTAGTGATATTTTAGTCTTCTAGGGTTTGTCTATAAGGTGATTGATTTGCGAGGTAATATAGAGAGAATGCCCTCGACGAGAGCATATCTTGTAGCAAACATGGCTCCAAATGCAGTTGCATATAATGCTAATCTATAGCGTTTGCCAATCTTGAACAAAAAGTTGACTGTACGCCTCATTAGCCTTTTTGCATCTGACATTTACTATGACTACTTACTTGGTGGTGGAGAGAAGATGTAATTGAGGTTTTGACCTGATCTTAGTGCACATATGCTCAACACAGGTGAATGGAAGAAACTGTAGACAAAGAACGATAGTAACGCCACATTCTTTGATGCGGGCAAGACGAGGTATCTACCACTGTAAATCATATACACAGGTGCCACCAAAATGAGGATGTGTTCTAATAAGGTGTTATTTCGTTTCCATTTATCTCTTATAAATACATAAATTTACCTGCAAAAAAGTTGGTTGTTTCACCTACTAGATAGTGATCTCTCAAATCAGGAAAGACCAATGCGGCAATGGCACCCCATTGTGTGTGCAAGTAAACATTAAACAAGAGGTTTGTAACCATGGAGGACTTGTTCGGGTTGCACAGGGTCATCAACAGTAGGCCTGCGCTCATATGACATGGTTGAAGCATGAACAATTTGTTTTTTCGGATCACCTTGTGAGCAAGAGTAACGCCAAAAGTTCCCAATAGAGATGCAATGAGAAGCTTTTCGGCTCTCGTAGGAGGTCCAGCTGGTTTGAAATTCTTGAGTAATTGGAATGTCAAACTGGCAGGGTCCAATATTTTTTTGAGATAATAAGCTGATGCAGCTGCAAATCCGGTTGATAGAAATACCAACTCGACAGCGTGCTGACGGGGCTGCAGGTACCTTTGTTTAGGTGATTCAATACATGGATGTAGTCAATGTATATGTGATTTCAAGATTTTACCATGAGCCCTTGGTTGAATCATCCCAATCCGTTTCGTCAGTGACATTTCTGGAGAAGGATTTAACCCAATTTTCGAGGCGATCAAATAAGGGTGTAAATGGGTTAGTGTTTAATCTGCTCTGCAATGGCATTTTGTTGTATATAGAAATAAAAAGCTTAAAATTTAAAAAATTGAGGTAGATCTTGATTTGATTTAATCAATTAAGAACACACCCTAATTTTGGGGTAAAGAAATATGTGTATGGAGAGGAATGGCTACTGGTGTAGTCATTTGTAGGCTGACGTCTGTGAAAGTGGTAGTACAAGCTAGGTACAATCACATGGAATTGGTAGGCAGTGGAGTTGAGTTACAGGCACAGAATGACTGGACCCAGTAAATGCAGTTTTATTGCGGATTAAAAAAATAAGGTATTATTTGATATATACAAAGCAATGGCAAGGTGAAATGTGTAATACGAGCTCTACTACATTAGTTTTTAACGATGGCTGAATGAACAGAAAATTCACCATTATCAGGGAAGGAAGGGTGCTTTGAATGGTTGGTCTTGCAAGCAAATTTCTTGAAATTATGGCTGAATCTTGATGCATAGCGTAATGCTTGAGCTTTAGGATCAGCATTCATGTTGAAGATGTGCTGAGAGATGGTTGCACTGGGGTCAGAAGTGTCGTAAGGAAGCCAAACAACATCAGCTGCTCCTTTTGGTGAATAAGCGACTCGGAACACACCTTGTACGTGGAGATCTATTGTCTTCAAGTCATGATATTTGCGCAATTTACCCATACGATTGGCCCTTCGGCTTTGTGCTTTGTGAATATCAATTAACTCAGCGCCCAAATCATCTTGATAAGTATCTTCATCAATGGCATCTTCTTTATCATTAGCACGCTTGATACGAGTTTCTTGTACGGGCCAAAGGGGCTGAATGCGTCTCTTTGTTGGTTGCAATTCAGCTGCATTCTTTTCAGTTACTTGAGCATACAATGGATGTTGATCTGTAGTGCTGATTTTGAACCAAGCGCCTTCATCTTCTTCCACGACGTTGTCTTCATCGTTCAGTTCCTTGCGTTGAAGAAGCTCCCAGTTACCACCAGTAAGGTTTGCATTGTTCAAGGAAGGTGCTGCGGCTAAACCTGGAAACTCTGCGCTATCATCAAGCCATTCAACATAGTATTCAGTTGTTTCTCCTGTTTGATCTCTATTCTCTGCGAAACCAATTGGAAAGTCTTGTTCAAGTTGAATAAGAGACATTTGTCAGTCAAAACGAGTGTAATGATAGTAGTAAAAGATGGTGTTGTAAAGAAAATGTATTCAGGTTTAGCCTGTATTTATAGTATTTGTTGATGCTGCGGCCTGGTATCATGATGATGGTGACCCTTTCTATAGCCGCAGCACATGATGAGCATTCTCCTTTTTGACGTTTCCCCGCTGATCCGTAGTTGACGCATTTTCACACCTAATTTAGTCTGTCGTCTGTGATTCGTAGTATTGAAAACAGCTTTGCGTAATATGAGACGTTGTCAGTTCGGCATTAGAAGCAATCGTTCAACAATTGTACATTTAGTATAGGGGCAATCACTGCCATATAATCACTGCTTGATGCGATGAAAAAATGAACGTGGCTAGCAGTGTAGATTGCTATTGTCAGGTGGCTAGTTCTGCGTCAATTTGTTATCATTCAAATGAAAAGCATCAGATACGTAACAAGCGGAGGAAATGGCATGTATTCTCGCATCAAAATTTGCCGTCATTGATCGAATTGCAGTATAATTCTGAAAATTGCTATCTCTTGATTACTAACCACAGCCTCAGTAAATCCCAATCCATGCAAACCTATTGATCTAATAAAGCACTGGACGGTATTTTTAATACGCTCGATACAAATGTAGATGATGATTGAAAGATTACAGTTCCATCTTTTCGTGCCAAGTTTTCCAAATTCAACTAGTAGTTGTACAAAATACAGCGCTTTCCATATACATAATCTGCTTTTATTGGCATTCAGTTATGATTACAGCAATGATATTGTATTATGCTTTGTCCTGACATGATCGTCGCAACTGCGTTTCGATTTATAACGCCGTTTACAGATGGGGCATTTAAAAGTGGGTGGTACCTCACATTCTCTTGAAACACCTATCTGATGGATGCTATGAAGATGAGTACGATAGATGCTTCGTGCTCTGAATCTGCATTCGCATACATTGCAATGGGCATTGGGATCATTTATATCCGGTTTTCTTTTGGATCTTGATTTGTGGGATGGTGATAGTATGACCGGTGTCGTATGTGGCTTTCGTATATGTACTTGATATGAGTACCGTGTCGTAAATATAGCATCACAGGGCTCACAGTACTGATCTAATCCACTGATTTCTTTAGGCACAGCATTCGATGCGAATACTGACATGCCTTTATGCATGTCTGTTGTTATTCGATGCTTGTTTCGTATATAATGAATGCAATTTGTTTGCAAGTCTGTTGTCTTGCTACAAATGTTACAATAAAAGCCTTTGATACAAGGATTGATGAGTGGCATAGTAACTGATATGTACAAACAATTCACCTTGATTCTCTGGTGTCTTCTTGTCCTTCAAATCGAGTTCAGGGCGATTATCATGAGCTTTGAGTCCCTGGGAATTGTCTGTCGCTATATCGAGTGGATCTACCAAAGCGAGCTTTGTATCCATTTCCTGTGGTTCTACTTTTATCTCGAGTGGAGTGTTGGTGGGTATCTTTTCAATGGTTGAAGACACCTTTCTATAGTTATCAAGATTGGAAACATCACTCTCGGATTTTGCCGTTCTGAAAACATCTAGAGGCTCTTGTTTCCTACATCTGTCTGCATTATCAAGAGCAATCTTTCGAGTTGTTAGCATTTTGTTTATTTTAACAAGAGTAGTAATGAGAACGTATCGCGTACGTGATTGTGGAAACAAGCAACCTGGGTATATTACAGACAGTGGCGGCTTTGTAATCAGGAGAGCGCGACAACATGAACTTTAAGCATTGCACAAAAAAAATGTTACACATATCAAGATATACAAATAAAACCATTCAAGATGAATCTTAACTGCGGGTATAAATAGTAAGGTGCTTGATACTAAGCAGCCCTCTTCTTTATCTCAGTGTTTTCATTCATTCATTCTATATTATGCTCAAAAAACTATTGTTTGCCCCAATTCTCACTGCCATATGCGCTGCTGAATTGGTTTCAATTGCCAATTACACTGGTAAACATGATTCTAATTGTATGTTTCAACAAACTGTCACTGGAGCCGTGGTCAATGACAAGCTATACACATTTGGTGGCTGCTTCAAAATACCTTATGTTGTGGATCCCAACGATTCTCGGGAAAGCTACATATCTTATGTGAGTCGCCAAAACACCACTGATCTATCTCAAGTATACGACATTTTCAGGGACGCATGGTCATTTGAGACCAAAACTCCAATTCCCATCAAGCATGCCGCTACACAAGTTGTAAATAAGACGATTTACTTTTTTGATATGAAACCAGAGAAACGTTATTCTTCCATGGGCATGTACAAATACGACACAGAGTCAAAATCATGGACTACATTACCGGAAATACCGTTTCTCTGGCATGGTAATCTCAAGTCATGTTACGACGGTAGAGGCAAAGTTTATTTTGTTGGTTCTTATGACGGACAAGAGAGAAATATAGTGCAAATATTGGATACAACCAATGACCAATGGAGTCAATCGCCTATTTTCATGGACAAACGACTGGATATCTGGCAAATGATTTGCAACCAAGACCACATTAAATTCATTGCCAAAGACTTGAAAAAAATAGAAGATGAAGACACTGACAGAACTGTTTGGTATGGCGGCGAAATCATGTCTGACACTTTGGAGTTGTTTAGCACCTCCTATCTTGATGGAACTACGGTATCAGACAACTACACCTTCTCTCTAAATTACGGAAGCGGAACAATCGGTCGTCTTGGTAGCTGGATCTTTGTAGGTAATGTTGGTAGAACTGAGACCACATTCTACAGATTAAACACAATGACACAAGAAAATGTAACCATGGCAACGTTACCTTACAATTTAGCAGCGCCACTTATTGCTCCTGTAAACGAGAGGGAAATCTTGATTTTGGGCGGAAGTAAGCAACTCTCTTACGACAGAACTCATAGAAATGCTATTAAAAACTACAACCACAAGCTGATCTATACACCTCGTAAATATGATGAATTGTAGCTCAACGAATAAAATTATTATTATCTCATCTCAGTCCATATCATCTTATTACACTTGTGTGAGTACGGTGTTATGGTACAACTGCTGAGCAATGATGTTAAACATCTCGGATTTCATAAGTTCTACTACGGAGGAAATTAATTCTGATTCTGAGTACCCTCTGTTGCACAACGAGAAGAAAACATTCGCAAATAGGTAGAAAATGCTTTATTCAATGTAACGCACAAGAAAACCTGGATGAAAGCTCGCTTAAATAAAGCGGTAATATATCCAGCAATACATTTTTATTTTACAAGCTACTCTTTTATGTTGTTAACTCGCGCTATATCTCTTCTCTCAATATTTACTGCCGTAGCATTTGCAGAATTAGTACCTGTTTCTCCGTACACTGGCAAGCACAAGGCAAATTGTCAACACTCGAAATTAACAGGTGCCCTTGTTGATGGGAGGATCTACACATTTGGTGGCTGTTATGCTATCCCTTACATTATCGACCCTGATGATGAATCTGGAGAACCATTCGGAAGATACAATGACCATCAAAATGTCACAGAGTCATCCAATGTCTATGATATAGCTTCAGATACCTGGTCCTTTGAAACTAACACACCTCGTCTACTGCGAGGCTCTTCCACTGTTACTATCAACAAGGATATATACTTTTACAACATTGACTCCAAACCAAGAACGACACAACTCAATCTATGGAAATACAGCACAGATACCAAGACATGGTCTGAACCAGATCAGTTGCCATTTTTGATTCACGGTAGTTTATTAACTTGCCACAGTAACGACAAAATGTACTTTATGGGCTCTCAAGATGGCTATCAAAGAAACATTGTTCGCGTTCAGAATTTGTTGAGCAATCAGTGGGAAGATCCCGTCTATCTCGACAAGCGCATCTACGCAAAGAAGCTTCTCTGTCATGAAACGCATATATCAGTGATCGGTGAGAAAGCAGACAAGGAGGATGACATAGCGATCTTTGATTTTCAACGTGAAAGTACCTACACCCAGAACCTGATCAATGTCTATCACAATGGTTCTGTTCAAATAGTAGAAAACTTCAATATTACCTTGGGACACAGCCGCAATGGTGGAATAGCTCAAGTATTCCCGCTAAAAGAATGGTTTTACATATTTGGTCTAGATGAATCAAACAGCGCTACTGAAATCAGCAAGATCAACACGTTGACTCTGGAAACTGTCAAGTTGGATACGCTGCCTTATGCATTGACCAATGTCTTGATGGTGCCGACCGAAAATGACGAAATCTACTTGTTTGGTGGCGGAAAAGAAAAGATATCTGTTGGTAGGCCAGCTCCCAAGGAAGACCAAAACCCATCAGTGCCCAAGATCAAGACATATAATCACAAGCTTATTATACCTCCTACTGATGTGGTAAAAGAGAGTACAGGTGAAGCAGGCAAACAAGGTGGCCATCTCAAGTTGCAAGCTCCAGATAAATAATAACTACTCCATTGATTTTGTCAGCCAAAATTACATTTAATTGCCGACTCACTTTTTGCAAATATTGGCCAGATTCTGTGCAAAAGCGACTTGATCGAACTATTTTGCGAGATTCGACTCTATAAATGGGGCTTATTTTCCCTTACTCCCTTAAGCTTCATTAAAGTACTTTTCAAGCCAAATCCAATGGTGCTAATAATAATATTTATTTTGAAAAACTTATTGAGTAATTCTAAAGAATATGAATTGACGTTTTTAGCCAAAATGTCGAGATTTTTCATACAAAGATCTCATAAAGAAGATTTCAGTGGCTGCTTTGGATCAATAGAAACATTTTGACTTATTATGTATTATAGTAGAAGTGTTCGTTTTTGGGGTCAAAAACGCGATCGTTTGATTCTCGATGAAAACCATGAGGGGTACCTCATGCTTTTTGGTCGATTTTTGGTCATGTTTTTTTTTGGTCCTCAAAAAGTTGAGCAAAGGTGTCGAGAAGTAAGTGCTAAACGAGAGCAATTGTTTGGTGCTACTCTGGCAATCTAAAATGGCTTGTATCGCAAAAAAAAACGCAGCTCAAATTCACCCGAATTATGCATTCATTTGATTACTTTCGAGCAGTGAGAGATGATGCCCGTACGATTTCTGCCCTTGTAAAACTGATTTGCATAAAGAAGACGCTGTGCATTGTAGCAGAGGCAAATCCAAAGGTGCACGCCACTTTAAAGGGATTTCATATTATAACAGATAGCTTTAAACGTATATACGGCGACCACTATTCAACAAACTGTATTGAAACATGCTCTTTTGAAACGCATTAGACTAATTGAAGGACGCTATTTAATTAATAGCATGAGGTATGGCAAAATGACCTCATAGATGCTAAATAACAACTTAACTCATGCTTGCAAGAAGGCATGATCAAGTTGAAAATTGCTTAGTTGATCAAGAGACGCCGATCAATGCAAATGGCCTTCATTGCTCTTCCGTATCGAAGGCAATGAAGAAAATAGCAAAAGAGATTACTAAAGCAAAAAGCGCAGCAGCAACAGGTTCCTGAAGCAACAATATGGAATGATACCCAAAGCCCTAGAGTAAGCAACCTAGTATCCCGATAAATTTACCTTGCTTTCACCTACACCCATCATATAGTTGTAAGCCCTGTACAGAGATCCTCTTTTTTACGTATAAAAATATTTTAATCAAAATATAAAACTTAATCGTCCTAGAAAACAAGTACAGAGTGTTCGAAATGAATTGCATTAATCCAAGAATATGAATGGCACCTCTAGTAGCTCTCAGGCAAGTACGCATAAATTGGGCGTGTTGCGTAGTGTTTAAAGCCATAAATACCTCAATGTTGTAACATCCTCAATGATGCACTGCTCATCCAATAGGGAAACACTCTTTTCCTCTTTTGTTTAGAGAATGTTCATGTATTTGCAAATCAAACAGTTTCAAACACCCTTCTTTTTTGTCTGTCGCTTAAACAAGTATAAATACAGGGACGAAAATTAGACTTCAAATGACCACCATTATTCCTCCAATCATGCCTGATAAAAAATCTTCTACTACTGCTCCCTCGTCTCCAGTGCACATTAGGGTTCCTCTGAACACACATCCTTCCCATTTGTTGACACCCGGGGCAACCTATGGAGCAATCTTGGAAGACAACAATAGCAGCAGCTTTTACTTTAGTGCGCATGGCGACTCACATCAAGGATCTCCTTTTTCGCTTCGAGACCACTTGGAGTCCTTTGCAGGCTCATATTCTTGGGCATCTGCCTTGTACATGGCAGAGAACCTTAGCATTGCAGCGCCTTCTAAACCTGCGTCTCGACATGGCGAAGATTTCCTGGAAGAAGCCATAGCAGAGGAAGAACAGAGCAAAGCAAAGCTATTGCCACTCGATCATACACTGACACAAACATTGTCGCTCCATGGGTTCCCTCAACTGTCTCGTCCTACCACTGTGGCTTCCATAATGTCTCAACAGTTCCATGTCAATTCCTCTATACCAGCGGTAGCCGTGCCTAGAAAATCAACGTTTGTGCAGTCTGTATTCAACTCTGTCAATGTCTTGGTAGGTATTGGTGTTTTGGCTTTACCACTGGCATTCCGTTGTGCAGGTTGGTTGTTTGGTTCCTTGATCTCCATGTTCTGTGCCTTGTCGACAAACTACACAGCCAAGGTAATTGCTCATTGTCTGGATGCTTGGCCTAATTCCACAACGTATGGTGATATGGGAGCAGCTGCGTTTGGTGATAGAGTAAGAACATTTGTCAGTGTCGTATTTGTTGTGGAGTTGATGACCATCGGGTAAGACAAAGTGTGCTTTTCATTTGTGTGTCAACATGTATTCTTATATTGGCCTGTTGTATAAAGTGTGGCAATGGTGGTATTGCTAGGAGATGGTATCGAGTCTCTATTTCCCTCAGTGGATATGATAGCACTCCGCATTGCGTCCTTTGTGATCCTTACTCCCATGCTATTCTTGTCCATCAGAAAGCTGGCTTATACCAGTCTCATTGGTACCATCAGCTGCGCCTGCTTGGTCACTATCGTCATCTACGACGGCCTCTCCAAAAAAGGAAAAACCTGGAAGCTTATTAAACCCCATGGTAAGAGAGTAAAGAATGTAGCGCAATCCACCAGATCGATGCTCAACCTTATGTGTAGGCAACCGAGGTGATTCCCTCTGAAATATACAATCTCCCTTTGAGCTTTGGGCTAATGATGTCTGGCTTTTCGGGACACGCGGTATTTCCAGCCATTTATCGAGACATGGAGAACCCCAAACACTATGAAACAATGGTCAACTTGACCTATGTTATTACAATGGGTGTTTATATCACAATGGCAATTGCTGGTTACATGATATTTGGGTTGGGAACAATGCAGGAGGTGAGGTAATTATAGTGGGTGTATGATGTCCTTTAATAACAAACATTGTTATGCCCTGCTAATACAGATCACTCAAAATTTGGCTGCAACGCCTGGATACTCAAAATGGGTTAACCGTCTAGCCATTTGGCTCATTGTGCTGACACCTATTGCAAAGTATGGCTTGATGATGAATCCTGTGTGTTTGACGTATGAGTTGTGGACGACAGGTTACGCTCATGTTGAGGCGTGGTGCAAGTTTCATCGCTGGAGACGACAGTTCATCACTGGCTCTGGTAAAGTCATTGTGAGTCTGCTAGTCATTTTGATTGCAACAGTCTTTCCTGGATTTGATCGAGTGATGGTGAGTGTGCGTATGCGAAACACTTACAACTGCTAATGTTTATTCAGTCATTGCTCGGGGCACTTTTCAGTTTCGGCATATCCGCTATATTCCCATTGATTTGCTACATCAAACTGTTTCAAAGTGAAATAAGCACCAAAGAGTATATCTTGATTTACATCCTACTAGCGTTATCAACGGCCATGGTTATTGCTGGTACCATTTGGAGCTTACTTCCCAATGATTTATAATAAAAGCATTTGCAGTAATTACAACAAGAAAAATAATAAGATTTATTTACTACAAGATTAAAAAATAGAGGGGGAGAGGGAGGGAGGGAGGGAGGGGAGAGAACGTTAATGTATATATGATATAAGTGGTAGTTGAAAGAGAGTTAGACTTCGCCTTCTTGCTCTTCATCTTCATGCTGGTAATCTTTCTTTTGCTTTGAAAACTCTTCTTCTTTAGTTTTGATGGCTCGAACTAAATGATCGTCTTGTAGAGGTGGTGGTGGCGAAGATGAAGAAGAAGCGGCTTTTTTATCATTTACATCTAAATTTTCCATGTTATTTGACAGCATGTCCCATTGCTGGTTGCTTTTATCTCCATTTGCGCTTTCAAAATCACCAAAATCATCATCATCGTCATTGCCCTGACTTGCAGCATTGAAGTCTTTGTGATTTTCTTGTTCTGCCGCTACTTTGTAGGATGCTCGTCTGAGTGCTGCCCTTCTCTCCAATTCTTCTGCGTCAGCTAAATGATCAAAATCATCTCCATCATCATAATCTTCTTCGTCGTCATCGTTGGCTGTATGGCTAGGAATGCGGCGAAGAGAGGTAGGCTGTGAGAATTTAGAAAAGTTTCTGGTCCAGTCAGGTGTGATATTGTCATCGTGTTCCTGTTTGTTGAAAGTTAGTGGATAAGCCCTTCGTCATGTCTGTCAGTAGCAACAAACCTCTTCTTCGTTACTGTCGTACTCTTCATCATCCTCTTCTCCGTCTTCTGCGCCATCTTGATTTACATGAATTTCGTTTTTATCATTGACAGAGAAACTGCCACTGTTGTAATTGTATTCTCTATTAAAGTCGTCTCTACCACTGGGCATGTCCATCAGTATTCCAGTCTCTGTCGATGTTGTATTTTTTACTCACGTGATCCAATGATCGTTGTCATCTTCATCATCCTCTTCGAAATTACCATCTTCTCCTCGTTGAGCCAAGAATCTAGAGTACTGACTAGCAGCAGTGCCTTCTAAAGCATCCTCATCATCTTCCTCATCGCTTTGTGGTACATCTAGATCATCATTTGGACGTAATCCGCCTAGAGGTAGTTGATCTCGATCCTTGGTTTCCTTGAGTTCGTTGTTACAATAGGCGTTCCAACCATCCATATCAATATCATCTTTGACGACGAGAACAATGGTTTCTGGATAGCCTTCAAACAGCTTCATGATTTCGTCAGAGATAAAGGTCAAGTGGCCCATGTAACCAGCACGCATGCCTTTGGGTTTAGCACTAGTGAAAGAATTAGTTGTAGTCAAATTTGCCACCTCAATTCTAATTTACCATTCTTCGTCATTGGCTTTTTGAGCAATGACTATCTTGTCTGTCAGCTGGCCATCCTTCAAGATGGAGATGGCTAGATTGCGGTTGAGACCTACATCCATGCGGCCATTAAAGACTTGGTGCAACATGTCATAAATCACATAGTGCAAAAAGTTGTTCCAAGGAAATGCGAAAAAGAGGTCCTACAGTTAGCAGTTGCATTAGCCATGTCTCTTCCAATGCAATTGAGCAAAGTATCCTCACCACACAGATGGGCATGGCTCTATTATCTACGAATTTGGACTTGAGGTAATCGCCAACGGATAGCTCGGGCTCTGATTCAGGTTTCACAGCTTCCTCTGCCTTATCCTCCTTTTTGCTGTTTGTTTCCTCTTTGACCTCTTCTTCCTTTTCTCCATCAGCATTGTTTTCTTCCGGCAACTTGTCTTCCAATTCAGCTTCCTCATCAGGTGTCATGGCGAAATTGTTGAGGTTGGACATGTTGGAGCAATGCAGCAACTCGGCAAACAATTCGCAAATCTTGAGTCTTTCGAATCCGAGAGGCTCTAATTCACCTAGTGTTGTGCGAATGGGTCCATTGACAGATCGAGGCTTGAGTAGCAGGTGTGTAAATTCTGGAACATGATCTCCCATGACTCTGAGCATATCAGCTAATGATACCGAACCACCGGCACGCACGGCTGCAGATTGGTACTCGTACAAGGCAGCTACGGCAGGATCATTTTCCAAATCACTGTTATTATGTCGAATGATATCAATAATGATGGAAACACCGTTGATCAAGGTAGATGTTGCATTGGGCGCATCGGGATCCAGCATGAATTTTGCTAATTTCTGCATTGTTGATTCGCTATGATACCATTAATGGACCTGTGTTTTTCTGCTGCTGCTGCTATATAGCGTACCTCTTTAAATCAATAATCAGTTCATTGATGCCAATGCTGGGTGATTCGGGCAAGCTGGTTTGAGACATGCGAATGATCTCACATATACATTGCTGAGCAATTGAGTGTTCCTACATGCGCTGATGATGAATGCCAGCCCACAGAATTCCATGTGACCCTATTTACCTCACTATCAAGATAGGGATCCAATCTATCAACTAAATTCTCAAGCAAGCCATGATCGCTCAACCACTGCAAAACACAAATTGATAAGCCGAGTGCTCCTATCGACACATGCCATGCTCCACTCTACCTTGACAACACCTTTTCCTTCAGGCAATTCCTCCATGCGAACAAGTGTCAATAGCAAATCCATGATGGCAGATGTCTGCAGATGGGATAGAATCTTGTCCAGATTACCATCCTCTGATTGAATAAAGGTCATCATCTATTGTTACAGTAAATTTGAGTATTTGTAAATTGCCCGAACACCAAGAGCCACCATACCTCAATAGGATATTTAGACAATAACACCCCAATTGTTTTACAAAAATAAGATGCCTGTAATGAATCCAGTCCAACACCTTGTTGCTCATTGTTGTCTGAAGTGTCTGAGGCCCGTCTCGTAGGACATGCCGGTGTATCTAAATAGGCCCAGAATTCCACCAGTAAATCTTTATGTTCAAGCACAATGGCATCAATGATGGGTTGAATTTCGCATGCAATGATCTCGCTTGCTAGGAAAGGATACCTAATATCGTTGCGTCAGTTTAGTAAAACACATGAAATTCAGGTGTGGTCTTTACTTGAATCGTTTGTTTTCCTCCAAATCAGTAGCAGTAATATAGGTCAACAAAGCCTTGATATGCTCAGGTTTGCTCAAACTAAATGCAAAAGATACAAGTTGAGTTGAACGCGTTTCACACTACAAGCAAGCCATGCTACATACAACTCTACTAATTTAGGGTTCATCGACTTGGCTTCTTGCAGCAAATCTTCTTCTTCCAACACTTCTTCTAGAGTAACATCTTCCTTGTCTAATAGAGTGTCTAATGTGGAACTATTAAAGCCAAACCGCCAAAACATGTTGTGTTACTTTTTTTTTCAATCTTTTTAAAAAAAGGTTTTTGCGTATAAAGTAGGGGAGGAGGAAAGGGATTAAGAAGCGTTTATCAAGAGGGAAAAAGAGAGAGAGAGAGCGAAAAGATACGTTATAAAAGTAAGGGACTAAATAACGAAAAAGGAGGAAAATGAGCCCAGTGACCAGCTTTGAAATTTACATTGATGGCCTTATTCTCTCACTCTCTTGCTCTTCAGCTATGCACAAATCTCACCAGTGGACTTTTAATACCACATTCGATGTCATCAGCCTTGTTTGAAGGGGGTGCTATCTGGTGTGTCCACATTGTTGATTGTGTAGATCTGCAGTTGATCAAATCATGCTACCACATGCATCTGGAAATGTTTGTGCGCATTGGATCTGCTGGCGCTTCCTGTGGTTTGCTAAGGATGCATTTGCCATGTCTCGGTATCGTCCGTGAAAGCGATCCATCTGGTTGCCATGTTGTGCCTGGTTGCTAGGGTCATGCAACTGTCAAATTTTGTTATCAGATCAAAATGTTGCTACGGAGATGCATGGCTAAATTAAATGTTTGTTTCTTTGGATGGATGATTGCTGATTTGATATGGTAAAACCCCTATTCTATACTGATATCGATGCCATTTTGCATTCATTTAATCGTAGCATGTTGCTAATGGAGTAATCCACTTATAACAAATGCCTCTATATCACCCAATTCTACTCCATTGCATGTTAAATCAAAGAGCATGAGCAGGATCTCATAAAGCTAATAGGCTTGGCATGACACTTGGACGACCTGTACCTTGATGTCAAAATCAGGAAAATCACCGCGACGTCTCATCCCGCGGTCATTGAGATCATCCAACATGGGAGATGTTAGATGAAAGGGCCGGCTGCCCTGAGCGATACATGATGGTAATGATGACTCTAAATGAAATAGGAATATAATTATAAATATAAAAATACAAAAAAAAAAAAAAAAGTGAAAGAGAGCACATGTTTCATCTGAAGATGATGATAGAAATAGAAGATTAATCTCTGCTTGACTTTTTTGCTGTATGAATGTCCGTTTACCATGTTATACTGTACCAAGTTGAATGATTTTCAACTTCAGTGTGATGCTGTATAACCATCTGTGCTTCCTTATGGTGTGTCAATAGGCACATTGCATGATTTTTGAACAATTAAAAGCTTAAAAAAATCAGAGCACAAAAAATCAGATGTTGTTTTACGATGGTTTCATACAAGATGAAGGATGGCTATATAAGAGAGGAGTTTATGTTTTGACATTCATGTCCTTTTTTTGGTTTCTCGATAAAGTTTTTTCAACCTTCCTTCCCTCCTCCTCTCTCTCTCTCTCTCTCTCTCTCTCTCTCCTAAATATTAGAATCATTCAACATGAATACAAAAGCAATTAGTGAATATGACATGATCATTGTTGGCGCTGGTGTGGTAGGCTGTGCTGCTGCCAAGGCATTTGGTGAAGATGGGCGCAAGGTCTTGTTGCTTGAGCGTGATTTGAGTGAACCTGATAGAATTGTTGGTGAACTGATGCAACCTGGAGGCATGCACGCTTTGAGAAAGCTCGGCATGGAAGGTAAGGCTCACTATTGTGTGCATAGTGCCAATACTCAATCTACAAATGGCTCCTAGATTGCGCAGAGAACATTGATGGTATCAACTGTTTTGGTTACAGTGTGTATCGCGATGGTGAAATTGTCGAACTTCCCTACAACAAGGATCCTACTACTGGCAAGCAAGCTCGCGGCATCGCTTTTCATCATGGTCGCTTCATCCAAAACTTGAGAAAGTCTGCCACCAACACAAAGAATGTCACTGTCAAGGAAATGACAGTTTCTCGTCTCTTGACTGAAGATATAGGTGAAAAGGTAATTGGTGTCGTTGCCAGTGTAAAGGACGGCCAAGAAGAAAAGATTTATGCTCCTCTGACTCTTGTTGCCGATGGTATCTTCTCCAAGTTCAGAAGAGAGTTCACTGATCGTCAAACCAATGTCATGTCTCATTTCGTCGGTTTCCTCATCCATGATTTTGAATTGCCTTACTCTCAAAAGGGTTTTGTTGCTATTGCCAAGCCTTCTCCCATTTTGATGTATCAAATTGCTCCTCATGATACACGTGTCCTTGTTGATGTTCCTGGAGAATTGCCCAAGGTCTCTACTGGTGAACTCAAAAAGTACATGGAAGATGTTGTCTGTCCTCAGTTGCCAGCTAATATGAGAGAGAAGTTCATGGAAGCCGTTCAAACTGAGCGTTTAAGACCTATGCCCAGTGGTTTCCTTCCTCCTGCTATCAACCAACGTGATGGTACTATTCTTTTGGGTGATGCTTTGAATGTGCGTTCTCCCTTGACCGGTGGTGGTATGACCGTCGCACTAGAGGATGTGCTTACCTGTCATGAATTGCTCTCCAAGAAGAATATTCCCTCCTTTACTGATTCTGACTTGATCATTCAGGCCATGGATGCTTTCCACTGGAAGCGCAAGTCTTATTCTGCCGTTATTAATGTATTGGCCATGTCTCTTTACTCTGTCTTTGCTGCTCAAACTTCAGATATGCTGGTCATTCAAAAAGGTTGTTTTGAATACTTCAAGTTGGGTGGTAACTGCATTGCTGGTCCTGTCGACCTTTTGGCTGGCATGAATCACTCTCCTCTTGCTCTCATCTACCACTTTTATAGAGTTGCCATTTATGCTATCTTTATCATGATCAGAGATGGTGGTATTCTCGGCCTTCCTCAATCTCTTTACAAGGCTTTCACCGTCTTCTTTACCGCATGTGTCACCATCTTGCCCTTCCTTTGGGGTGAACTCAAGGGCTAAATGGCCCATAGCATACACTTAAATTACATACATCATCCACATTCTAGCATTCCTTTTATTACAAACCCATATTCATATAAATCCTTTTTTTTTTTATCATTCTAGGAATTAATGTAAATACATAGAGATCTAATATAAAAAAAAAGAATTTTTCTTCGTAATTCAATGTCTTGAAAACATGTTTGAAAGCAATAAAACGTTCCAAAATAAGGGGATTTTGCTGACAGCGCGTAAAATCCTTGGCTTTTCATGGGAGCAATCACTAAACTATGTAATGCCTAGATTAGATATTAGCTGTTTGTCATCCTGAATGGAATTCCAGGCCACCTATGTAGACATTTCACGCCATTGATCTCGCCAAATCACTAGCCATGTTAACAAATTTAATCTACTAAAAAATGGTCTCATAATAGACTATATTACGGAAGGCTAAACCGAGACATTCGATTGAGCTATTTTGCATAGGCATTTTATACCCTCAAAACGCGTAATAGATCGATCCGTACATTGAAATTACTTGGATCTCTTGATGATGTGACAAAGATATGGCGCAACGACTACATTCAGTGCCTTACCTCAGGACATTGATTGCATTGAAATGTGTTCCATCTAATTGTATTTACAGCCAAGAGAAGAAGTATCTCCATGCGATCTAGCCTGGGGTCAATGGTTCGATGGATGCCTACCGTTCAAGCGTCGATTTTTTTCTATCCGGGAATCCAATACAGCAGGATAAAATAGTTTGAAACATCCGAATTAAAACCTAATTTAAACATAGGATTGACATTTGAAAATTGAGGCAAATCTGTGTCGCGGTCCTTGCAATTGAAAAAAGGCTTCTGTGGAGGTTCTGCTAACCTAGATCTCATTTGGAATGAGGTTTGTATTTACAAGATGGCAATATTGTGTTTTGCATCAAAAATCGCACTTGTATTGGCAATTGATATTGATGAGTATTTATAGAATACTAAAATGCTTAATAAATCAAAAAGTGATGAATTAATCCAAGCTAGAGTACCTCTCAATTCGCAATCCCTTTCTTATTCGTTAAGAAATCATTGATTACCTTCATGAGGAAGGCGCTCTGGCAGCTGCCAAAAACGATTGAAATTCAGCTTAGCCTTTCTGTCTCGATTCGTTAATATATAACTAAAATTCGACTTATTCAAACTATTTTGGACGATCCGACTAGTAAAATGTGATAATTATCTTATACCCTCTTAAGTTTTCTTGAAGCACTTTTCGAGGCGCATCCAATGGTGCTAGCTAAAGAAAGTGTTTTGAATAAAATTATTGAGTAATGTTACAAAATATGAAATGAGGTTTTTGGCGAAATTGTTGAGGTTTTATATATATAGGTCTCCCAATCAAAGTTTCAGGGGTTGCGTTGGATCGAGAGAAACATTTTAGTTGGGTATATGCCATAGTAAAAGTCTTCATTTTTGCTGTCAAAAACGCGATCGTTTGATTTTCGATGAAAACCATGAGGGGTACCTCATGCTTTTTCGTCGATTTTTGGTCATGTTTTTTTGGTCCTTAAAAGGTTGAGCAAAGGTGTCAGAAAGTTGCTACTACTCAAGTACAATTGTTTGGTATTAATCTGGAAACTTAAAGCGGCTTTAAACGCGAGAAAACACTGCTTAAATGCATCCAAATTTTGCTGTTTTTTGCATAATTCTGACCGTTAAGAGTTGCTGCGAGCTTGCTGTTTGCCTGTATGGGTTTTTCTCGTTAATATGGACATGAAACATTCACGGAAAGTCAAATTCACTATTGCAGATCTGCTTAACTAGGCGCTTTTCGTCTACCACACTCTGCTTTTAATCCTAGTACAGCAACATTTAAGACATGTAAAATTGGCAGCACATCGTAGTACATCTTTTAGGTCAATAGCGCTTATCGTACACCAACTTTTACTAGTGTTAGAGATGCCTTACTACAACTATTACATTTTTACACACATTTAATTGAGATGATTGCAAATTATGACCCTTTTTTTTTACAATTTAAGCGATTACGTGCATCTATGGCAACGGGATCAACGTGATATTGTATGTTTTGGAACAGTAAGTCGCAATGCCAGTTGCGACAGCAAACGCATTACTCGGGAAACAACAAAGGTAAGAGATATGCGCTCATAATGCACTCATCTTTCCGAGCTTTTAGTTTATAGCTTAGTGAAACTGTACACGGGCAAATATGTACCATGTTTAACGAAAAGTGTACATGTAAACGAATAAGGAAATAAGCCGAGACCAGACTGGGCACGTATTTCAAAGAGATCAGTGTGTAGAGGGTTTTGTGTATGAAATCATGTCGTACATTCTTGTGCAAACAACGGCAGCATTCCGTCGTCAAATTATTTCTGGGCTAGATGAGACCCTAAAATGGTAGATCCGAGACTACATATTCATCTAGTTGGATGCCATTTTAGAGTTTCATGTTTTTGTTTGATTTTTCAGGGCAAAAGAAATGGCATCCATGCTTGATGTCAGTAGTATAATTTATTGATAGAAAATATCACTATTAAGTATTAGGTATTACAACATTATTTACGAGATATACATTTTGAGCGTATAGTTGTATTAGAGAGTATAAGAGTATTTTTTTTTTCACTGCACATTCATCAAGTTCTCGATCTCATGTACTTGCTTTGGTACCAGCGTCAAGTTTTCGTATCCATCATCAGTAATCACGACAGTATCTTCAATCCGAACACCACCGACACTTCTATACTTGGCCAGTATAGAAAGGTTAAAGTAGTCCTGATACCCTGGAAATTGTGTCCAAATATTTAACATGGCATCATTAAAATATAAGCCGGGTTCCACCGTCAACACCATGTTCTTCTCTAACGGCCTTCCAAGCAAGAACTCTGTGATGGTAGGATCGTCCTCTTCTTGCTGGCTTGTCAGCTTCTGGTCTTTGCTGTTCAAGTGAGAAGTTTGAGTAGACATTCAAGAACTAAAGATATAGCACTCACCCTCCCACGTCATGGACATCTAAACCTAAGCTATGACCCAGGCCTAACGTATGGAACAAATGTTTTGAGTATGACAACAATTTATGTGACACAATCGATCTAACTTTAATCCTTACCATGATAATAAAAGGCACTGGGTACACCTCTTTGAATCAATTCATCTTGATCACCTTTCAAGATGCCAATGTTAATCAGCTCATGGCATAGTACTCTTATAGCCAGTCGCTGCATATCAGTCCAGTAGATGCCTGGCTTTAGATGTGATAACACAGTCTATTGTACAAAGTATTAGTCCGCGGGCTTACAAAGAGATACATGTATAGAATATGTACCTGCTGCATGTTTAACACAATATTATAAATAGTTTTGGCTTCTTCGGAAAAGACGCCGCGCACAGGAAACGTTCGTGTGATGTCGCTACCATAGCATCCCTTTTCACCACCAGCATCAACAAGCACCAAGGAATGGGGGCCATCAGGTATCCTTTGGTTGTTCTTTGAGTAGTGTAAGGTAGCAGCACGGGGGCCAGACGCAACAATTGGAAGGTAAGCTTGATTGTATATTTGATGCAGGGCACAATTCCACCGAAACAGGGCAGCAAGGTGAGCTTCAGTCATGCCCGGCTGAAAATGCTGCATCAGAGCAATATGAGCCTGTGAGGATCCATGCATGACTTGACGTATGAGATCAATTTCCCAAGAAAATTTGATGAGCCTTGCTTCACTAATGGCAGGTGCGAGCAATTGAGAATTGATATTCAATGCCGGTGCTATTTTGGCTAAATGGGATTGATGCTGATCGTTGAGGACACATGCAAAGTCTGGATTCAAAGTACGGAGTAACTGCACCAGGTCATCTTCTTGCACTATTTCGTCCACATTGTACAGTGCCAGTAATTCAGCGGTATCGTGCGTTGGGCCTTTCCAAAATATATCGTTTTCAGGTACATTGGGTGGAATGAGGTAGACTCGTTCTGATGTTGAATCAAAGACAGCTTGAAAACCAGGCTCATCCACACCTTTTTAAATCGACATGTTTAGCAACCTTGGTTACTACAGTTCAATTCACCTGATTTCTTTACCTGTCAAATAAAAGAAATTGCTCTCTTGGCGAAACTCTAGGTCGACATCTGTGTTGTCTCGTGTTTTCTCATCTTTGCCTCTGATGTATATAACAAACGGTGCATCCATGCCAATCAGCTGCTTGACTCTAAGGCAATGCTGCTTTGTAGGCAGCACATTACTTTGTTTGTGAGCGAAATAGAGTTTCTTTGGTGTAATAGTGATGGGATGAGGTGTCATATTGATTGCAAAAATGCAAATAAATAAAGAGAGAAAGAAGAAAAACCGGTTATAAATAAACTGCGTATATTTTTATACGGTTAAAAAGAAAGTCTGCTGATGGCACACAAACAATTTTATTCAGGCACAGATATCGCCCTTCCCTTCTACCGGATCATCACCCCAATTTAGGCCTGTCGTATTTCTTGCGCAAATGGAGCAGTGATGAATTAAGGCATAGCTCAAGCCACTTGCGATGCAACGCATATGACCACATCAAACTTGCAGCTTTTCTAGTATGTGATCAGTGCTAAATTTCATTCTATATCAGATGTCGATTTCCAAATGCATTGATCACAATTTACCTTCCAATCAATATGCGTTATTCTCGCCATATTTGGTATTTCAACAGATCGCTGCCTTTTCCTGATTGCCCGCTATTTAACATATCTCTCATCCAATATTGTACATATTTTCAAGGTGCATACCGTTGAAGCATCGCAGTATTATAACATTTTATTCATCATGCTCGGCCATAACAAGGTTATTTTTGATAGGATTAGTAGAGGCACCGCTACGGAAAGCGACATGGCTACCAGGCTTGTCCTTCATCTCCAATTCCATTAAATCTGCGATACGATGATTAAACTTCTTTCTTGGCCAATACTGAACAATCTCATCAGTGGTATCCTTGTTGTACAAATCTGGATGAACGCCAATGACATCCCTTCAATTCAAATGACATGGATGTTGTTAAATGGTATTTAGACGCTAAACCGATGTCATGCAAGATGAATGTCTTTGTAGTTGATTTTCCATTTGGGAAACTGGTCTTGGCTTACAACGCGGCCCAGCAAAAAGACACGCTGCGAGCGATTGAATAAAGCTTCATCAGTTCCTTCCTTGCAAAAGCGGTAACTTCTGGTACCAATGGAGAGGTTGGCAGTTCAATGTTCAAGATAGAGAATTGCGAGGGGGGGGGATATTGGAAGCAAGCAAAAGCTTTTCAACATCTCTTTCAGCACTTTATACATTTTCGCTGATTACTTGGTATTGACAGTACTAGCCATCTAACTCTTCTCTGATGTATAATCGTGTCATTGTGATAAGGCACAGTGTGCTCATGACAGTAACTGCAATAGTATGTTGTGTCATTACATATTGATGTAGCACATGTTTTGCTTAGCAATCCAATCTGGCATCACTCTAGGGCCAAAGTTTATTTATACAATGCTGTCCTAAAAGCAGTTCCACAACTCCTTGAATTCGCGAGTATAGGCATCAACTACAGAAGGAATATTTGTTACAATGATGTTTTCCTTATTCTTGTAGCGAGCACTATCATATACACTTGTTAACATTCATGGGTCAATCAGCACGCAAGACTCTATATATACATACCCTGCAGACCAGTTGAACGAACCAGTAATGATAATCTTGTTGTCAATGACGGCAAACTTGTTGTGCATGAATTGATCACTATAGGTTATCGACGCATTAGTACCACTATAGCAACCGCATTTGACAAGCTCACCTGTTGTCCTTTTTAAAGGGAATGCCAAATCTCTCGTGCAATCTAAGCACATCAGCGCCTTTACATTCATCCATTTGGTCATTGTCAGTGATGATTTTGACATCAACGCCGCGTTGCTTGGCGTCAATCAGCACGTCAGCCGTTTCGTTGTCTGTCAAGGAGAACACACACACATACAAGGATTCCTTGGCTGATGATAATGCAGAGTGAAACACACTGTAACTCTCCTCAGAGGGGAAAAACACGGGCATGCAAAAAATGCCAGAAGGCAAATTGTGCAAATACTCTGGACGGAATTCAGTGACACGAACACGGTGGCGAGGATAACAAGGCCTGCTGTTACTGTTGTTGTATTGAGCACTGTTGTTGTCATAACTGTTACTCGAGTGGCTGTAAGAAAAGTTGGTGGTAATCGTGGTCTTGGTCTTCTTCTTTTGACGACGACGCACAGTTTGGAACCCTCCAGCACCGCCAATCTCGCGAGATTTAACTTGAACTTGCTCAACCACTTCTTCGTATTCGTCAGAGTCATCTTCCTCCTCTGATCCATCTCCTTCCTCCTCGCCACTTCCAGCATCGCGTCCGTACTGCTCCTCCTCCAATTGTTGTTGGCGAAGTCTTTCGTGTTCAGCACGTTCAGGGGCATAAATATCGCCATTATTTTGATCGTAATACGCCTTCTTTTCAAGCCAAGCACTCTTGGTTTCCTTTTCATTGGCTGCAGACCACGAAAGCTTATTTGACTTGGTATCATCGTCATCGTCGCTGTCCTCCTCTTCAGCTCGTTGCTGTTGCTCATGTTGTTCTAAAAATGGTTTGACGCCCAATGTAACACCAATGAAACTAGAGACCTGACGCTTCAACACAGAAAGCACTTGCCTATCGCTCTCTGAAGACATGGCTCTGTCTGCGTTGGCAAACATGCTGTCTAAAAGCAGGACAGCTTTATCAACCTGGGGTTCTTCGTCTTGACGCAACAAACCGTTCAAGTGAACAGACATTTTATCTAGCAACGAGCTACTGGAGACGATGGTATCAACAGATCGCATGGACTATACATGCCGTAACAAACGCGTTGGTGTGAAAGTGTGTCTCATACTAGTTGGGATTTTGCTAGCCTACCTGTTTCAACAGCTGCGAGATGCTCATAGGCTTATCGTTATCCCAAGGGAGGTCTTCAGACATCTTTAGTCACTTTTAGTATGGTATAAGATAATATATAAAGTTGTATAGTAAAGAGAAAAGAAGAGAGAGAGAAAAAGGGCGAGAAAACGCTAAAATGTGATTAAGTAGTTGCTCCCTACTGACATCGGAAGCATATCCGTTATGTAGTACGTTGGAAATTGGTGGTGCCTTCCATTTATACACACTAAACCGCAACTTTTGCAGAGGAGGTGTGAAATTTTCAATGACATTCAAAGCCTAATAGACATGACCGAATAAAGAAAGAGCCTTCTGCAACGTGGCATGGCAGTAAGTATGAAATTCTTGCTTGAATATGTGGTTTTAATGGTGATGCAGCTTGTTGCACAAGAACTGTTGCATTTCTACTACCAACGCGAGATGATCTTCGCTGCTCATGGAGTAGTAGCGGTTTAAATTGAAGTGTAAAAGTATTTCTGATCTCGAAAAAGACATGAAATATGCCATAGAAGCGATCAAGGGGATACCTAGCATCCAAAGAGGGGGATCTTGCTTTCCTCCAATTTATCAAGCAGGCTGAATTGGCACCTCTGTTGTCATTGTCTCACACTAAAAAATGTTGATACACTGACAGTAATCAAGATGGCGTGCCAACTTTTGCTGGTAAAGACGTTTAGCCATTGTTGTGATCCTTTATTCTGTCATCATGATACCTTATCATTTTATAAACGTTATTCAATCTCAATAATCAGGCACTCTTTTTTTTTCAGCTGCGGTATGTATCAATGCATGCTTTTGTTGGGAAGCAACTCTCTACAGACTCTGATATATCTTTGAGGCTGCAGCAGTGGTAAGATTTTTGCAGTCTATATCAACACCAAGAAGGGAAAATTACTTTATTGGGCGTCTTCTCCGAGAACATCTCTGTTCCAATGAATAAATAGGTTCTTTACAGCTCGCTGACATGCCATCAGTGTTGCTCACAAGTATTCTATATGTCTGGCAAACTGAGATTACGAATTTCCCCAAAGAGATAAATAAGAAGAAGGCCGAAACTGCTCAACTACGATCCTTTTAGTTCATCAGACATTGCACATGTAGAGAAAGTTGACAACGCCACCTTTAAGGGGATACTTTGGTCTATTAATGATTTCTATTTACGGCCTGAATTTTATTGTGGCCCCCACTCGCGCACCATTTAAAAAAGTATGAGCAGATGCCATTGGGGTGCTTTCGGAATAGGGGTGAAAAGTACCTATTGATTGGCAATGCTGATCATACACTAAATTAACATTGATTAAAAAGCCATGTATTACCATTTATATACCGTCATCTTTGTAGAAATATAGCTCACTATACTATTCTACACTCTCCTTTCATATCAAATATGATCAAGCCATTCCATTCTCTTGAAACCTGTAAAAAAAAAAAAAAAAAAAAAAAAAAAAAAAAAAAAAAAAAAGATGGTAATGTATTCTTTTATTTCAATTTTGACAACCTGTGCAATTCGACATGATTACTTCATTTATTTTGAGATCTAGAGTTGTCACTTGATAAAAGTGTTTCGACGTTAAATGGTAAACGATTATACAGTACATATGTTGGATGCCATTTAACAAATGAATTAAAATTGAGAGCCATACGCCACGATGTTACCCAAACTTAATGAAATCGCAGCCGTTTCCCGCCTCAGACTATGGCGTATGATGCTGTAATTGATACACGGAATCCGGGGCTTCAACAGCATTCCTATTATGAACCGTGGCTTGGCCTTGGCAAAAAAAAAAAAAAAAAAAAAAAAAAAAAAAAAAGAAATCTATAATAGACATGTTCCCTTATATGGAGTTCCTTTTCTTTCCTTCATCTTCAACTTCTGCTTCTCGTTAGTATCTTTTCGTTTGGGTATATGACACAAGTAAACTATGTAACAGTTCCTGTTTCAAAGGAGAACAAGGCCGAGACATTTACAGTCAACGCAAGATATCGCATCATTCGTAAAGTGGGATCTGGCGCATATGGCTCGGTGTGTTCTGCGTTTGATCTGCAACACCAGCAATACTGTGCCATCAAGAAAGTATACAGAGTCTTTGACAAGAAGCTGTTGACCAAACGATGCCTCCGTGAGATGAAATTGCTACGTCTATTCAACAACCATCCTCGAATCATTCAACTGTTCAACATGGACATGCTGGAGGGCTCTGAAGAAATCTACCTGATCTTTGGTTGCATGGATGCCAGCTTGCACGATGTGATCCATTCAAAGCAGCCCTTGGATATTGTGCATTCTCAATGGTTTCTGTTTCAATTACTCTCTGGTTTAAAGTATATACACAGCGCCAATGTGATTCACCGGGATTTGAAGCCAGGTAAAACAAAAGCTGGATCTCCATTTCAAAACACATTAACTGATCTATTCAACGTAGCCAACATTCTGGTCAATAAGGATTGCGACCTTCGTATTTGCGACTTTGGTATGGCCCGAAGCTTTGATCAAGCAGACACTACATCTTGTTTGACGGAATATGTCACGACTAGATGGTATCGTTCTCCTGAAATTATGGTGAGCAGCCAAAATTACAGCAAAGCAAGTATGTGTGTAACAGAAGTGTAGTTACCCAGAATTATTTTTAACTCGTATTACAGTCGATATCTGGTCTGTTGGTTGCATTTTTGGCGAAATTCTAGGTAGAAAAGTTCTATTTCAAGGCAGGGATCATGTAGATCAATTGCACAAGATTCTTGGCATCATGGGCCTGCCCAAAGACATTTCGTTTTGGGATCTCACGGAAAATGTATCCGCACACCTGCAAACAATTTGTACTGCAGATGGATTACCGCTCCCTACAGAACCTGTCAACTTTGCAACACTATTTCCCACAGCACCGCCTGAAGCCATTGACGTGTTGAAGGATCTGCTGAATCTGAATCCAACAAAGCGACTGACCGTGGAAGAAGCCCTGAGATGTGCATTTATCCAGCCGTTTTCTGATCCCATCGAAGAGTCCTTAATGCCACCTGCAACACAGCCATATCAATACAGTTTTGAGAATTGCAATGACGAAGCTGATTTAAAACATATGGTGATACATGAAATTGAATCCTTTAAACACCAGCAAGAAGAATTAGAGCTGGACATGGAAAAAAGGCAAAAAGCAATGCATTTCTCTGCTTCGGAGATCTCGCCCGTGCCAAGACGGTACCATACCATGGCCGGAGACGCCGAATCCTTTTGTACAACACCTACTCAAAAGCTAGATCATCTTCCTTCTGCTACAATGAGCTTATTCGAACAACATACGCCCTATGTCACATCGACTGCCGCTACTGACTCCAACATGGATACGGTCGTGTACACACAGGATCCGCTGGTGGGCGAGCCTGAGGAATTGAGCGAAGATGACAACTATTCTTACCTATGTGAACTCATAAAGACTACACCTGGTGTTTGTGTAGAGGATCCCGACCGTCAAATCAGAGAACCACCTCATGGAACCGCCCGCCAAACATTAGAGCGCGCTCTCAGTGGATCTTGGAAGTAGCATGCGAAGTCTCTCACTGATGATGCACTTGTATATAGTATATTTTATATAGGATTTTAATATACCTTGTCTTTTTATGCCATTCAGCTGATTCATGTGTTTGTTTCGATAAGCCAGTTTTTTTTTTTTTTTTCTCTGATGGAGTACGTTGGTTTAGACATTGCATTTGCAATTGCACATTGGGATCAAATTGTTGTGAATTTCACTTGACACGCGAGAACTCTGCGTAACTGATTTCCTGTTCTTTATATTATCAGACTGCCCCTGCGATGCTCCATGTCTGTATTAGCACGGCCAAGTCATACTGAGCAGACGGCATGCTTGCATGGCCTCCTACAACTTGCAAGTATGCGAAATCTGGATGCATTTGAACAGCAGTTTCTTGTGCTACACGCCGTTTTAGACCGCCAGAATAACTTTAAATGATTGCTCTCATCTAGGAGTTACTTTCTGACACTTTTGCTCAACTTTTTGGGGATCAAAAAAACATGACCAAAAAATCGGCCAAAAAGCATGAGGTGCCCCTCATGGCTTTCGTCCAAAATCAAACGATCGCACTTTTTGCCTTGATAATGAAGACTTTTATTATGGTATATCCTGAATCAAAATGTTTCTATCGATCCAACGTAACTCCTGAAATCATCTTTGTGGGACTTTGATATGTAAAATTTCGACTTTTTGACCAGAAACCTCTTTTCATATTTTCGTAAATTACTCAATAAGTTTATTCAGAACATCTATCCTACTTGGTACCATTGGGTGCGCCTTGAAAAGCACTGCAAAAATGCATTAGAAAGTATGGGGCGATCATCACAATTTACATAGAATCTGGCGAAATAGGTCGAAACGAATCCAAAAAGTTTGAAAATCAACAAATCAAGACAGAATGTTAAGCGGAAAATAAATTAAATTTGGTTTGGCGAACTCTATGCTATGCGTGTCCTGGACGTAAATGATGCTCTTGATGAGAGCCCATAAAAAGGGCATTGCGAGTAAAAAATAAAAATAAAAAAAAAAAGTACATGATATAGCTTATTCAAAGTGCTTGTTGTTGCCTCTATTGCGTTTTTCCGCATTCAAAAGATTTAATCCTTGCACCATGCTCAACCAATGTCAAGCCATCCTATTCAAGATTCCAAATGCTGCAACAAACCAAACAATTATTTATCGATACGCACGACATTTCAGACATGAATTCGGTAATTTCAATATACAAAAACCACTGTCGCAACCCTTTGAGCTAGCATTCTGCGCTCTCTCAAAAGTGAGAATCATACGAATGCTTACATAAACCACTCTTGAAAATGGCTGATTAATTAAATTTCTTTCCTCAGGAACCAGATGTTTGAGCCTTGCTGTTGCTTTACGAATAATGAATCGCCATATTTCCAGAACTGTGTTCATTAAACGACATGCTCTGAGGCTTGCTGTCTCATAAACAAATTCGGGATGCTAATGGCCAAACCAATAGTGTATAGTGCAAGGCACGCCATTGACATGTAACTTTTCGCGATCAGCATTGCTCTTATACTTGGTAAGCTTGCTTGCATTCTTTCAAGAGGTAGACAGATTTGCAAAGAGTTGTATCTTTATAATTTCCAGTCAATGTATCTGCTCCAATTTTGCGAAGAAAAAAAAACATCTACCATGCAGTTGTGATGAGATTGCTATAGAATTGGATGAACAGCAGTATACAGCTGTCAATCAACCGCCATTCTGTATTACAAATTGGCTTCTGAAACGACATTTTAAACGGTGTGACACTTGCTGTATGGGTGGACTTCATGTGTCGCTTGAGTCGCAGGCAATGATAGGCACTTTTCTTTTTACAAGTGAGAAAGGAGAAAGCAAAGCATGGTTGTGGCGATGTGAAATAAATGTAAAGCCACTAAATAGATGGAAAGACCAGAGCTGTTTTGCTGCCACGCGAGATCCGACCATTCAAAACTTGCATTGATTGTCCAACATTGCTCTATGCATATCAGCACCATTGAGTAACATGACGCAATGATAAACAAAGGGGATTTTCGCACGTTTCCGTTTGTTTGGGCTCTGATTTTATCCGATGCTCTTAATTCATCCGCGTTTGAAATTAGAATCATCATGACACCAACATGAAGAGGGATTTTTAGCTTGCAAAAGAGTGCTTTAATTGCTCAGTAATTTATCAACATTGATTATATACATTGTAGCCATCAAATTAGAGCCATCAAATCAGAGCCCACAAATACGCGTAAAGAGAGAGAGACAGAGAGAGAGAGAGAGAGAGAGAGAGAGATTCCAGATTCTATGTTTCGCATGAATGCTAAAAAAGCATTTCATGACGAATATGATGAAAAGTGGTTTTAAACCATTGCGTAGCATTAATAATTTGGGCAAGCTATAAATACGTCAAAATCAATTTCTTTCCATGCTCTTTTCTTCTTGGACAACAACTCTTCAACAGAATTTTTTTCTACAACTAAAGAATGTCTTACCGTGCTCCTTCTCCTCCCTCAACGGGATATAGTATCATTGATATTCGTGGTCCTCTCTATGGCGGCAAGCATGATGCTCAAGATGTTACTACTGCCGTTAGACCTCCTTCGCCTCAAGCTTCCGATAACTCCGAGGATGCTTTCAATGGCTCTGATTTGGTCAACACCATTCTGGATTCCTTGGATAAGCCTACGAACCACAAGTCTATTCCTACCTACATCTTGTATGATAAGAAGGGTTTGCAGTTGTTTGATCAGATTACTCAGTTGGACGACGAGTACTATTTGACTGGCGCTGAACTGGACATTTTGATCCGTAGATCGGAAGAAATGGTAGACCGTCTCCAAGATGGCAGTGTCATCTTTGAATTGGGTGCTGGGTGAGTTCATATACAGCATGGTTGTCTATAGCACGACTGACTCTTTTACTTTGTGTTTTTAGTGCACTTCGTAAGACTCAAGTTATTTTGAGGGCCATTGAGAAAAAGAAGGTCCATGTGACATACTATGCGTTAGATCTTGATCAACACGAGCTAGACAAATCACTGGCTTCGCTGGGTGAATTCCAGTATGTCCAACTGCACGGTCTTTTGGGCACCTATGATCAGGGTATTCCATGGGTCAGCAAACACTTTACCAACAGCAACATCCAAAAGAACTTTTTGTGGATGGGTAGCTCTATTGGCAACCAAAATCGTCTTGAATCTGCCATGTTTCTCCGCAAGCTTCAGCGAATGTGTATGGAACCTGGGGATCTGTTTGTGATTGGATTCGATAAGAGAAATGACCCTGAGAAGGTCGAGCTTGCCTACGATGACTCTCATGGTGTTACGCGCGAATTTATTCTGAACGGCCTTGATCACGTCAGCCGTATTATGGGGAAAGAAAACTTTATGAGTCGACGTGATTTCGACTATCATTCAATCTATCAAGAAAAGCAAGGTCGCCATCTCTCGCATTACCGCGCCCTAAAGGATATCGTGATTTCCTACAAGACGCCTCAAAAGGAGTATTCTATCAAGATACAGAAAGACGAGCTGATACATGTTGAACACTCTTACAAGTACTCTTTGGATGAAATCGAGAGCATCTTGACGGCCGCTGATCTCAACATGGTGAATTACTGGACGGACTCCAAGCAGCAATATCGTCTGGTGTTGGCCGAGAATCGTCCCTTTATGTTTGAAAGAAACATGAAACGCATCCATGCACTCCTGTTTCCACCCAAGGAGGTCTTTGATCAAGAACCAATCAGCTGCTATCACTGTAACGAAGGCCAGTTTGACTTGACGAGAACAATTGAAAGCGATGAATCCGCTACGTTCGACTACGCATTGAACAAGACGTGGCCTATCGAAACGCTTCCCTCGTTGCATGAGTGGCAAGAACTCTGGAAATCATGGGATGTGGTAACACAACAGATGCTAAACCATCGCACGATGCTCTTTGAACGCCCCATCGCTTTGCGCCACCCCTTCATCTTTTACCTTGGACACATTCCTGCTTTCTTGGATATCCAGCTCTCCCGTCATGCTGTAGACAAGGATCTTGGTCCCACAGATCTTACTGAGCCTGCCGTTTATGCTGAGATATTTGAACGCGGTATTGACCCTGATTTGGACGATCCTACTGTCTGCAATCCACACTCTCATGTTCCTGACAATGACCAAGAATGGCCCTCAATTGCCTCCATTTTGGCATATCAAAAGCGAATCCGTGAACGCTTGCAACGTCTCTTGGTCTACTGGGAATCTGAAGCGTTCAAAACGCAATCTTCCAACTGGATCGACTCAAGACAGCGTCAAGCGCGTATTGTCTGGATGTGTTTTGAGCATGAGGCCATGCACCTTGAGACTCTTTTGTATATGCTGATTCAAAGCCCCAACATCTTGCCTCCCAAGGGTATTGCCCTGCCTTCTTGGAAGCTTTTCATGCGCTCCAATGCCTTGCCCCCGTTGACTCCTCTATCTGAATCCCCTCTGATGAAATTGCCTGGCGGTACCATCTCCTTGGGTCATGACGATCATGAATCGCTCGATCACAAAAGCAAGGAACACGAATTTGGTTGGGATAATGAGAGCCCTGAGCGTCAGGTGTCGATTGCTCCGTTGAACATACAAACAAGACCTGTTACCAATGGCGAATACTTTCAATTCCTTCAAGACACGCAAGCTGATTTCATCCCTGCCTCCTGGTTGAAGCAGGATGGTCAGGTTTTTGTCAAAACTGTCTTTGGCCCTTGTCCTCTTGCCTATGCTCAACATTGGCCGGTGCAAACCTCTTACAAGCAAGCAGACCTCTATGCCCAACATAAAGGGGGTCGCCTTCCCTCTGAAGCTGAGATGATTCATTTCCGTGATGCTGCTACTACTGAAAAATGGGCCAACATTGGTTTTGAAAACTGGTCTCCTACTGATGTCAGTAACGAGAGGGTGCATTCTTTGGGTGATGTATGGGAGTGGACAAGCACAGTTTGGGACAAGCACGAAGGCTTTGAAGCGTCTCAAATATATCCAGGCTATTCAGCTGACTTTTTTGATGGCAAACATCATGTTGTCTTGGGTGGCAGTTGGGCTACACATCCTCGTATTGCTGAACGTAGATCATTTAGAAATTGGTATCAAGCTGGGTATCCTTACGTCTTTAGTGGCTTCAGACTTTGCTACTGAGTAAAATGACGTTGTATCATTATCATTTGAATAAAATCAAGGGAGTTGACACCCGTGAATTTACTATATATATACATATTTGTGAATATCGATTTGTGGTATAACATTAGACTTTCACGTCTATCTCTCTGTTGGGCTGATTTGAGTATAAATACTTCACATGATGTCGAGCTCTTGATTGCAAGTTTTCACACATCCATTCTTTCCTATTATCTGCAAGCTGCGCAGTCGATGTTTGCTCAGTTATACGCATTTGGGATATTTAGAACGCTTTTTCGTGATTGCTCTCTTTCTCTCGTGTACTTGGATGTAAAAGAGATGTGGAAATAGCCTGTATACCCATTTCAAATGCCACATCTTAAAGTAAAGGATGCAGGGATTTGGCGCATAAAGAAGCCCGTTAATCACGCCAAGAAACGCTTCGTTGATGTTCCATATTTTTTGCACATTGTCGACAAGGATTTATCAGAAAAAAAAAACATTCATTCGAGTGCATTTTGCAAATGGATCTTTACCCCTGGATCCATCAAGGTCTTATGGCGATCAGGCATTTGATAGTTGAAATACATCATTCATATTTACGTCTATAATTGGTCATGTCTAAACAACTAGAAATCGACCTGTCTAAAATGATAAGCTATCATAGCAGGCGAAAGCAAATTCACACAAATTGGTAATCATCATGAAAAAGGACATGCAACAAACCATATGATCTTTTAGTGCATCATTCTGTTTACGACTTGTTTGTGGAACGCTGATGATTGCAATCTATGCATGCTTTACACATCATGCTATCAAGTATAATTAAGCCTATGACACTGATGCTCTATACTATTTGTATCAAATATGGGCATAGGTCAATACGAGTGTGCGTCTGTTTCAAAAGAAAAAAAAAAAAAAAAGAAAAAAAAAAAGTATCCATGCTAGCAACAGATTTCATCATGTATGAAGCAAATATATGTACGTACAAGCATACATATGATATCAAGGTGGAATCATTGCTATATCCAGCAACACACACCAAGCGAGAATACATATACACGCATACAGAAGCATTTTATATATTTTAAAAAGTAGGCTTGGATGATGGATGGTACATCTATGCTCTTTGTACATGTCACATGCTCATAAGATGTTACACTCTTGGGTTCTCCAAAATGTGCACGTACCTCCTTCTTTTTTGTATCATAATTGCAGACTTAATTTGTACAAATGTTGTTCACACTATTGGTTCATCGTGGAGATGTGTCTACTGTTACGTCTGGAACACCAGAGTAAGATCTTATTACTGCTTGTTTTTAAATTACTATATTCTGATCCGCCGTTTCGCTAAAGAGATATGGTGATTAAAAAAACGTTTAATGTTATAGTTTAATAAATGTGCATCCTAATAGACTGTATTCTATGCATGATTATGATGGCGTAGCGGTGCCTGATTGCAGAAAAATCAGATTGTATGTGTGTGCTGTTCAAGTGGATCTACTTGTGGATATGTTTGCTTCCAGTGGCCACAATTGGCTAAATCACATTCGAATCGAGCGTCATCATCAAATGTGCTGTAACGATGATACTATCAGCACTAGTAACAGAACAGGTAGAAGCACCAGAGGGATCGCAGTAGATGGTGTACCTGTTTACATACAAGGTTGAAGCTCAGCGGGCAAAATCTGGTCAAGCCAAGGTTACATCTCTCTCTCTTTCTCTTTCTCTCTCTCTCTCTCTCTCTCTCTCTCTCTCTCACTCTTACATTTTTTTATATTTGCTTGTTCTTCTGGTTCTTATCTGCCTCCTTTTTCTTTTTCTCTTTCCTCTTTTTCTCATTTTTACTCTAATTTACATTTTATACCCTTTCCACTTTCATCTTACATCAGAGACAAACAAACAAACGACTACCACATCAAGATGCCACCCAAAGACAACAACAGCAACAACAACAACAACAAGGAGAAAACTCAGCAACAACAGCAACCAGCGTCAGAGGAGCAGCCAGCTACAGATGGAATCAAGAGCAAGAAGCCTGCTGGAGCACCAAAGCGACAAAAGATCGTCAAGGCCTGCAAAGATTGCCGACGAAGAAAGGTTGGTATCTGTTGTGTGTGTGTGTGCACCTCTTTCCCAGCGTGGATGGATGATAGTAATATACAAACATACATTACAGGTCAAATGTGACGGTGCAATGCCCTGTGGTACATGTCGAAGATCATCGATAGACTGTATATTTGAATCAACATCACCAAAGAGAGGAGCAACAAAGCATTATATTGAATCATTGGAGAATCGAATTCATGTGATTGAAAGAGCGCTAAATTCGTTGGGTGGTCCTACAATGCAAATAGTAGAAGAGGCTGTGCGTAGGCAACAGTTGGTGGATGAAAGTGGAGTACAAGAGGGACAACAAGGTAAATTCAAATGTCATACACACGCAACAAGACCTATTTTTAACAACAAAAGGTGTAGCAGCCATCTTGCCTGAAGATCGATTCATCCTGAACGATTTGGGCAGTCCTGGCTACATGACAGACATCCAATCTTCCATGATGTACAGCCATATCCACGATTCCCAATCTTCCAATTCATCGCCATCGCCAAAGAGCATCCACAATCTATCGACATCCAGAGAGGACATTGAGATTGAGCAGTACCTGAGCCAGATTCAGCCCTATTTTCCTCTCTTTGTGCCAAATTACCTGAATCGCCAGTACCATCAGCATGAACTACCCAGAATACTCATTTATGCGATATGCGCACTTGGATCACACTTTCAGCAAAATGGCGAAGAAGAGAACTACTATCAAAAGGCCATGATGTTGCTGGATGAGTCGATTGGCAGACCGACCATTGCCATTGTTCAGACATTGCTGCTGCTGATCAAGTACATTGAATGCAAAAACAATGCATTTTACTTTGAAAAGATCAAAAGCCTCATGCTCAGAACCATCGAAATGTGCAAGATACTAAAGTTGCATCAACAACTTGTGATCAATAACAATAGTCCCGATCCTGATGCTGAGACCAAAAGAAGAGCTTTTTGTATGGTATTCTACTATAACACCCTTATATGGTAAATCAAAACACACTGCTGGAAAAGGCAATTTCTGACTGAACCTCTTTCTCCCTAGTGTGGAGCAAGGCATTGAATCCACCTTTAGCATCACTTCGCTGGATGCTCTGTTACCGTCTATGGAAGAATCGAGTTCTATTGAATGCCTGAGATACATGACATCCTTCTCGTTCACACTGTTGCAAATTCATCAGCACATCCATCGTGTAACATCGCGACAGAATCTGCAAAATGATAGACGCAGCGAAAACCAAATCACCGAAGAAAACATGGCGCTGCTCCATCTCCAAGTCATGATTGAGAATGATCTGATCCACCTACCAGCTCACCTGAACTACAACAATACAGGCAAACTGCAGCAGTATCCATTTCCAGCAGCTGAAGAGGAAAACAACTGTATTAATGTATCACCCATGACGAGACTTCTCCACATGTTGTATCACTTGAACGTGATACTATTACACTTACATTATTTCATGTATCCATTGCCACAGGGTGCAAATATCGAGACAACACATTACCCACACAGACAGATGTGTATTTCAAGTGCCTCCATCATGACGAGACTAGTCGAAGGCCTATTATTAGACCAGAAGCAATCATTCAGATATGCCCCTGGCGGCTTACAATTCGTAATTCACTGCATTACATCTGCACGAACAGTCCTTCATACCGAAACTCTGCTGGCAAAGGATGCCAACACCAGCAAGGTTTACTTTGACGAATACCAGCGATGTGCTCAGCTTGTGCAGCAGTTTTCGTCCATCTCGCCATCCAACGATCTACGCTTGCTGGACTTTGATAATGCCTCATCCACATCACCTTCGCCTATACTGACGTCGTCGTCCTTCAACTCATCGCCCACAGGCCTGTTTCCTAGCACAAGTGCCGCTGACACACCGATGGCGACAAAGCAGCGCAGAAACACCATTTCTGATCGACCCTATCCGCAAAGAAACCCTTCTTATCCAATCGTAGTACCTCAATCCTTACTGCAGTCTTCAAGCACTGATGTGAATCAGTTTTCTATACATCACCAGCCATTACACAATATTCATGCAACACCACTTCATATTCATCAGTCGCCCATGCATGCTGCCACTGTGCCTCCCATGACGGGCAGAACATTGAGGGGCTCCACACAGTCATGTCAAGACTTGCGGTCCATGAACAGACTACACAAGACCATGGCTAGCAGTACCTCACCGCAACAACAGCATTTCAACGCCTCGTTTACGCAGCATCGTAAGCCAGTGTCATCCATCATCTCTTCCAGCACTGCGAGTACAGCACCAAGCCCTTATCGTCATTTCGGTGCTGGAAACAACAATGGAAGCGTTGTTAGTAATACCAGCAGTCGAAATGTATCGCCTAGCTTACCGTATGGCAAACCTAATTATCACCACGGTGCTACAAACGATGCACTGATTCCAATTGTCCCACCTCATCCCTCCCAATCAGCAGGATTCCCTAGACAACAGCAGCAGCAATCACAGTCGCAATCACAGCCAGGAAAGATTAGACGGATCAAGAAGAGTGTATCGCACCATGGATTATCAAACACATATCAACGCCAACAGCAACAAATGCAGCAGCAGCAGCAGCAGCAGCAGCAGCAGCAATATCAGTTATATCAGCAGCAGCAACAGCAACAGCAATATCAATTCCAACAACAATTTAGCCAGCTATTCTATACCCCATCTCCACAACCACAGTTATCCCAACATCACCAACAACAACAACAGCAGCAGCAGCAGCAGCTCCATCGTCCATACCAACCTAGCTACGATGATGGCATGAAGCTTGCTTCTGATGTTGTTGTCGATGATTTCTCCATGAATGTTGATTTGAATTTTCTTAATGCCTACCCTTTAACCACCAATGATGACCATCTAGGATCAAGATCTGAGGGTCATCAACTATTATAAATATATAAGTTTTTTTTTTTTTTTTTTTTTTTTTTTTTTTTTTTTTTTTTATTATTATTATTATTGATTGATATTCGATTACATAATCAACATTTATAAACTGTTTGGTGGTTGATATCGACGATATTGGATGGGTGGTCTATTGCGAGTCTTTAGAATGGACACTAAATCATCCAACACTTTACCCTTTTCACCCGTTTGTTTAGGCTGTGTGCTATTCTTTGAGTCTGTTTGTTGCTGCTGAGCGTCTGTGGATGCAGTAGACTTTTTAGCGTTAGGTGATGATGTTGAGGAAGATGGGGATGGCGATGATGCTGGTAAGGAAGCATAGTCTAATTTAATTGATTTTCGCCCTTGATTGCTGTTTTCTTCTTCTAATTGTGCAATTCTTCGCTTCAACTGTTCGTTTTCGTTTTCCAGTTGCTCCATACGTGCTGGCCAGTCAGCCATTCGATTTACTTTAGCCTCTAATTCTTTGACATAAAGCTCCTTTCTTTGTCTAAAAGCTCTTTGAGCTGCTCTATTTTGTTCTGCTCTTCTCGTTTCTATTACAGTCTTTCTTGTGGGAGACGGTGAGCGTGAGCGACTGTTGGATTGCCTAGCCGTGTCAGCGTGTTTAGCAGATGATGAAGATGGACTGGAGCTCGACATTTTTTTTTTCCTTGTGGTTGAGTTGACAAATCAGAGCAAAAAGGGAGAAAAGGGAAGGAGAAAAGAGAGAGAGAGAAAAAAGCTAATTTGTATACAAAAACGCCTTTTTTTTCAATTCTCACGAGAAAATTACGTAATAGGTTTTTTTTTTTATTATAATCTGCGCAGAGAGAGTGAGAGAGAGAGAGACAGAGAGAGAGTTGATGAGAGAGATCTTTCTGTGCTTGATTGTGAATCAGGAGTCGATTGTTACAGAAACAACTTACGTAAGTTGTGAGCATGTAACAATCATGATGAACCGTTTCTTTTACCTGTACCACTGATTTCCCATGAGATAGATCTCCATGGAGATTGCAATGGCTTTTTGGTGAGTTTGGATGCGTCCGATGTTTGGAAGGATCTCAATCTGGATTTAAAGTGATATCAACAGCCACCATCCATCAGCAACTGTAAATAGTCAGGGCAGCAGATCGATTGGCATCAAAGCCTCTTTATATCAAATAGGCCGTATGTCTGTACGCAATTTTTACAAGATCTGATAAATCTCTCGGCGCTGAATAGGCGAATAGGGCGATTAGCATGGCGTCTGCATACATTCACTAAAATGAGTAAAGAAGATGGCACATCCGCTCTGGAGTCTTTGCAAAACCAACATGTCTAGTACATGGATCGATTACTAGCTTTCATAGGAAGATTTGTTAGAAGAAAAAAACCTTGTATCTGAAATTGGATTGAGGATCAACTTAAACCATATTACATAGACTTGCCATTTTTTTTTTTTACAAATCCAGCTATGCAAACCCTGTTTGACAGCAATCACCATAATACATATGCAATGCTATATCGATACCGACGTGCTTTGATACGCACAAAGCCAAAATATATCCACAATTCACAATTAAATGTTCAAAGTCTCACTGAACCAGCGTCATGATCAGTGGCAGATTTGCATCAATGTCAAACCTCTTTAAAAGCACGTGTGTGTGTTACTCCACTGAGGTTTAAATGAATCAACAACTACAAATTTGCTTTACAACATTTCAGAAGCTTCTCTTTCGCTTTATCTTTCAATACCCACATGGAATCTGCAGACCAAGCTATACATTCGCTGTTCTCGGGCACTGCTTCAGAGTTGCATTTACTCACAGGTAAGCTTTGGTGAAGACAATGTTTGCGAAACCTTTTATAACAGTGATCTTATTTCTGGAAAAAAAAACACAGCTGTCGAGCTTATAAACAACACTTCAACAAACATCGATACAAATAATGTGGAATCTATTGAACTAGCAAAGCAAGCTTTAAAGTTTCTAAGGACTAAAGCAGCCAAAGTACAGTGAATCAAATGTATGAGGGAAAAAGCAATGCTAACAACAAGCTATGCTTAGGGCGACGTTGAAGCTAAAATCAAACTTAGCACAATCTTGGATCGACGAGATCTACATATCATCAAAAGAGATACAGAAGAAGCTACCTTATGGGCCCGCAGTGTGTTTGATCGAAGATTATCGTCATCCTTGGCGCCATGTGTATCAGAATTGATTGCTTTGACAGAACAGAAGGGTGATAAAACTCTCGTTGAGCGCCTTATTCAACGAACCGATCAAATTCAAGCACAACAAGAGGATCCACAGCTCAAGAAGAAAAAGAAACTGACGCGGTCAATGTGCTATTTGGTTGGCATCCTGTATATTGACGGCACTGGTGTTGACCAAGACGTTCCTCGTGGCATCAGCTATCTTACAAAAGCTTCTGAAATTGGCCATCAAGGTGCCGGAATAGAGTTGGCAAAAATATTGAGCGATCCCTACAAGTATCCCAAGCAATATGACATTCAAAAGAGCTTGGAAATTTACGAAGCAGTTGCTGAACGAAAAAGTGGCACAGATGCCCGGGCGCTCACTGATCTGGCTCGTGTGTATTATGAAGGAAGTGAAACCATCCCTCGCAACATTGAAAAAGCGTACAAATATGCACGACGCATTGCAGAGAGTATTGGTGAACAGTATTGTCAGTTTATCGTGGGTGATGTTCTTTTGCACCCACCAAAAAACTCGGACATGAAGCAAGACGTACAGCAGGCTGTATTTTGGTTGAATCAGTCTGGTGCACAAGGCTTCCCTTTAGCGATTGAAACACTATCAAAAATGTATTTCGAAGGCAAAGTGAAAGGGATCAAAAAGGACTATGAACAAGCACGTCAATGGTGTTTAATGGGTGACGATATATGGCCATCAGGTTTAGGGTATTGTCAAACATGCTTGGGTGATATGTATCGTCAAGGATTAGGTGTGCCAAAAGATTTGGTAAAGTCATTTGAATACTATCAGAAGGCGGCTAGTCAACAAGATGCACCACAAAACTATGCACGGTACATGCTGGGAGAAATGTTAGTTCTGCTATGGATACTATCATCGCCTGTCTATTAACGTGGTATTAAATAGGTTTTTTAAAGGGGATGGATGGGATCACAATTATGCACTTGCTGCTGATTATTATAAAATGGCCGCCAAGGAAAATTATGAACCTGCAGTGAAGCGTTTGGCAGAGCTTGATGCTATTAAAGAGGAAAACAAGAGATCCATTGAGAAAGCAGCTGCGAAAAGAGGGCCCTGGAAGATCTGGTCCATGTTTGGAAGCAAAAAAAAGACTGTGGTCTAACGGCAAAAACTATCCTAACTTTTATATTGCAAAATAATTTGATATCTTTATACCTTGTAGAATATTTAAAATCATTGAAAAATTAAGAACTAATCGTTTCGTCTCATACCACACTTTACCGCATAACTGATAATCCCATGCACACAAATCATTGAATAAATCAAGCACGTTTTTTTGAATCATCATGCTCTGTTCTTAGTAGGTCATAGTCTTATTATTGTTCAATTTGCAGCTGCTCATGGAACTTCGCCATGATAATAGCAATAATCATACAAATTGTATACAGGTATAAGCGACAGAAAGTAAAATTGAACGGCAAAGGAACTTTTACAGTGCTACTGTATCGGTATTGGCATACTCATGAATACTTGAAAATAAGCCAAAATTGGCTTCGCAAAATTTCAAACCCCGAATTCGGAGTTATGGTCGATTTGGGACCCCGCTCTTGCCCTCTAAACGATGGTGCAATTGAAATTTGCGTAGGTAGCATGGTTGTTGAGAAAAGGGAGATTTTAGAAAATAGTTTATTTTGAATAGATGCTGCTAATAAAAGCTTATAAATTACTATATGAATGCGGGATGTATGTGCAGTGAAAGTTGTAGAGGGTAGGTTTTTTGATGAGGACATGTTTGATGTGGGGTTATTGAAGAGGATGTCGATGAGTAATGACGGAAAATGTTCCAGATGACCGATTTTCAAACGGCCATACCTCTGTATTTTATCAAGTGAATGAGAGCTTCAAACTTAATAGCTTCTGTTTCTTTTTCAATCTTCTATACGATGGTATGGTTATTATAGATAAATAAAATAAAAAATTGAATATCCCCTGCTTGTAGCTCATAAAATATATGATTTTCAGCAAATTTATGAAGGGAACATACATTTGATACTTGAAAATTATATATTATAATGGATCTAACGTAGAGCTATTGAATGGTTCTTGTTTTGTACAAATCCAGTGAGTATTTGTCGAGATACGGTCAAAAAAGAGTATCATGCAAAACCATGGACTTTTCTTCAAAATCTGCCTGTGATGGCAAGCAAAAAAATCTGGTGACCTTTTTTTGGTCAGGACAAGATTGTCAATATTTCATAATAGAGTCATGTCAGAGCTTCAAGCAATAGCTCATTCGATAGGAAATTTTTTGGTCTACAATGTTTAGTAATGCTTAACAAAATGTTTTGATGACAGATACTGATTGATCTTTTGATAACGGTCAAAAAATCGCAAAAACAATCGCATCAAATATCAGGTGAACAATGTACACCAGAGACTTGATGTAAATACCATTGTATTCTCCTTTGAATTCTCTACAAGTTTCATATAAGTTTGAAGGGGCGGTTACTATCAAGAAACGCGTAATTTTAAGGCTGATAGATTTTGGAATCCCATGGATCATCATTCAGAATAGCCGATATTACATGCATATTAATCTCCGCAAACTCGTAGGAACTAGGCGCAAATATGATACGTATGTACGTCTTTGCAGAGCTTCATGGTATTTTCTTGCATAATATCGATTGTTTTTAACCTATTGGAAGTTTTTATAATAGAATTTAAATATGCAATTATTCCGCCTTTTTGTAAAATGCGCAACAAACGCTTGACCTTTCGCAAACAGGTTAGAAACTACATTTCTCAACATCTAATCCATCAATCTACTTCGCCTAATCAACTGTAATTAACAGGTTCTTATATGAAACTCATTACTCAAAATTAGCTAAAATGTAAGACACACCGTCAAACTTCTGCCACTCCACAACGAAGCAAGCAATCGCCAAGCGGTTCTAAATACAACGTTTTGAAACACGTCGCCTCATTAGTTCTCTAATTGCTCAACTCTCTGTTCAAAGCTTCGTAATAACACTGTATAATATTCCACATAAATCCTCTCTTTAATGTGGCACCTGTTGTGCCAGAAGGGCCACAACTGTCTATAGAAATTAAGGTATTCCTGGTGGGTAGATATGTCTGTGTTGTGCAACATCATGGACAAGCTATGATAATTGAAGTGCATCTCAGCTATCTAAATACTGAGGTTCACCAGATGTGGTAAGCGTTGTACAAGATAAATTTCTACTTTGGCATTCAGAACTTAGTATAAATAGAATAACTCTTGTCTTCATCAATAAATCTTTAGTTTTTGTGTCTGATCTTATTATTCAAATAAGTCTTTTCTTGTTTTTATAATATCAAACATTTTTTATAAGCTACAAATAATAATCATTTTGTTCTTTGTGCTTAACATTGTGGTTGTTTGGCAAAGGTTTTAAGCCATAATGTGCATCTCACCACGAAGAGCGGACAGCGTTTCCATGCCTTAGGCTGATACTAGAGATTTCATAATGTACAATACAGAGCATCTGGGTCATCAGACAGAAGTGTAACTTACTCTTCTGGTAACGCAACCCACTACGCCGTCGTCTTTGGTTGAATTTTGTGCAAATCTAGCCATTTCCAAGTACGAATAACTCATGCCACAAAGCGCTTTAAGCGCTTGGAATAGAACCACACGCCTCCTCTTGGCTACGTTTTACTTCCTAATGCTTTATCTCAATTTTTTTTTGGGACGTTGCAAACTCATGAATATCATCGTTTTTCCATGAGTATTAGCAAGGGAAAACTCTTGAAAATCAAACGATCGCATTTTTCACGTCAAAAGTGAAGACTTTTCCTATGATAGGTATTAGATCAAATTGATCGTAAAAATTAAATGCAACATTGGAAACTCTTTCTATGAGACTTTCATATGCTAAATTTTGACATATTCTCAGAAAACCTGTTTTCATATTTCTTGAAATTGCTCATTATTTTCGGTCTGAAAGCTAAAAGCAATCAGCACCATTCGATGCTGCTTCTTTAATCCTCTAGAGATGTATTAGAAAGTTGGGTTTGACAACGACAGTTTTCATAGTCAAATGTAGCAAAAACGTTTAAAGGGTGTGAGATCAAGTCAGGTTTGAACACGAAGATACCACTGCACAATGTCAAATTAAATTGCCGCAATTATGGCTGCTACGGTACAAGACTGAGACTAACTCTACTGGTCGTGACGTCGAATAGGGTGCCCTCTCATTTTTCCATGCCCTCGTTTTTTTACCCTTTTGCAAAACGCGTTTTAGTATCAAACCATGGTGGTTTTGGACATCGTTTAATTAATAATAACACTCTAGCATCCGATAACTCTGTCTTGTACTGTTGGAAGAACTTGATACTGCTTCTTTGAAGTAGAATATATTAGGTATCATTCAATAACGAGCACTGAAAGGCGTAAAATTAACACTAATTGAGTTTGTTTATTAGGTTTTAGTATTTTTTGCTTGCTTGAGTGAGTGCTGCTGCCATTAATTCTCTGCCATCTCTGCTGCCTGCTTCTTCGGTCTTTGTCTGGTCTCTGGTGTTGTTCGTTCCTTGGTTCTTCCATGGTGCTGGTGTTGCTGCCGCTGCTGCTGCTAATCCGGTCTTTCCTAGTCTACTCTATTTGTTGTAGTATGCTTGTTCTCTGGTCTATTTCTGGTGATTACCTGTACTTTTCTGGTCTATCTCTGGTGGTGATAAGCAGTAAGTAACTGCTTTGGTCTTTGTCTGTTCTTTGCTGATAACGTTCGTTCTATAGTTTTTCTATGGTGCTGGTATTGCTACTGCTGCTGCTGCTGCTAATCTGGTCTTTCCTGGTCTGCTGTATTTGGTGCATGCTCCTCGTTCTTTGGTCTGTCTCCGGTGATTTCGTGTCCTCTTCTGGTTTATCTGTGGCTGTGGTAAGTGGTATCTTCTTTCTTCTGGTCGCAATGATATAAAACTTCTTTGGACGCTTGTATTATTGCTTCCTTTCTCGTGATAATGCATTCATGATGTTTGCCTTGTTGCGCTTTCTTCTTTTTTTTTCTTTTCTTGGTAGTGTTTCCTCTGTAGCTTTACATGAAACAACCTTAGTCATTATGTTGTGATGAAAACTTATAATGTCACTGTTGCTTTTGCAGTTGTGCGTATTTGTGTCATGTTGCTTTACATCCGACTATTACTACCATGCGCGTTGCTCATGTATGCAATTTTATTGCAACAACAACGAGTTTTTTTTTTAAACATCTTTGACGTTGTGTTTGTTATGCTTTTCTTTAACTCGCTTCGTGTGAGTGTCTCTTTTTTTTTGCCTACATACTACTATACTCTTATAGTATTATGTTCATTTGTTCCTTTGATTGTGTTTCTTTGAGTCATACTTTTTTACGTTGTGTGAATGTGCCTATCCCTGAAGCTCAACAAGACTTTATCCGAGGCTAGGAGGTAGATAGGCCGCCTCCACTTGGTTATCACTACTTACTTTAGTGATGATTGAGGGTCTCAACGCCTGAATTTAAAGCTAGGTGGTGTAAGTAAGGCATGCTCTAGCACCTAAGGGAAATTTGATGATAGTAACAGCTATATTACTATATGGCGGAGCTTAAAATTTCGCCTCACATCAAAACAGGGGGAAACCCTCGCAAATTTTTTTTAGGTCAGCGGAGTTTTTACGCAATCTGATTGGCTCAGAGGTTGAAACAACGAAGGGGTACAACTAGTTGATTTCCTATTGATCTGTCATGTATTATAATTTTGTGTTTGTAATAAAAATGTATTCAAATAATGATACAAATTTATATCCTTCATTATTCATGCAGTGAAATCAGGTTTGAATAGATTTCACAAAAAAAATAAAGCAATAGTAAAATACAATAGAAATCAACTGTATTTTATTTTGTGTATAAAATGAACTGAAGATCCTGGAATTGAGTAAAAAAAAAGAAGAGTATTTATACATTTGCATCTGGCTTGTAGGATTAGTGATGATAGAGAGCAATAGGTGCTGCTATTGCGATATCTGGCAAATGTTGTTGATGTTTGATTTAAAGTGGTAATCAATGCAAGAGCACTGGCCGTAAGGGTCAATTTGAGTAACCTTGATGATGGGCTTGGGTGAGCTATCGTCATAGCATGATTTAATGTAACCTTGATGGTTTA